GCTCTCTCTTAAGTTTGCTGCATAATCCTGCCTGGGAATATACAAATAATCCCATGAGAATGAGGTCAGCATTCATGAGGAGTGGTCCCCCGAATGAGAGTCTCTTCATTGAGAATACACTAGTGGTTGTACTGCAGAGGAGATGCACAGTTAAAAAATGTAAGCAAGTGTTTCTAAATCTAGGGTTTTCAGGAGGTAATAGTGCCATTTAAGCACTCATCTGGATGCTCATTTTACTTTTCCTTGTTAAATCATTGCAATGATTGCATGGGGAGGGGAAAATGGCTATTTTTTGAAGAATTGCTTATTCTACTTTCAAATTTTGAAAATCAAGGAATTAAAATATTACTTTTTAAATATGCATAGATGTACCTTAACTGTAATTATATTTTAGTTTGCTTTGTTATAACAGCATGAACATCAAATACAAAATGCACTGATGAAAACTTTTGTAAAAAAATAAAGTTTTTTATTTCTCAAAATCGTTTATAATTTCTGTTGTATGCTTGTATGATGCAATTCCCTCTTGGGAATGTGTTTGATAATCATTAGTGTACTTAGTACCCAATCACGAAGCTTTTGTACCAGCATATTCTACATCCTCTATAAGTATTCTCACACTTTAAGTAGTTAGACATGACTAAGTATGGACAGCTTAAGTGCACTCAGGGACTTTCTGTTGTACAGGCCTTTGCTGGAACCCTTGCTACTTTCAAGTTCTGGATTGAAATAACTTCCAGTCTCCCAAAGAACTAATAACATTTCAAAATTTTCCATCAGGATAATGGTCTTTAACATTTCCATAACGTCCATCTAATCAACTAAAAACTAAAAGAAATATATAGTTTTTTTATTTCTTTTCTTTTCTTTTCTTTTTGAAACAGAGTTTCTCTGTGTAGTCCTGGCTGTCCTGTAACTTGCTCTGTAGACCAGGTTGGCCTTGAATTCACAGAGATCCACCTGCCTCTACCTCCTGAGTGCTGGGATTAAAGGCGTGCACTACCATCTCCCAGCAAAAGATATAGTTTCTTAAAATGGTGTACTTTATTTACCATGTCCAATTTGTGAAGATTATGCCATCATTTATTTGCTCTTATCTGTTCCTTTCCAGTCTACAGCCATTTGTATAGTTTAAGCCACTCTTGTTGGTTTGAAATAGTACAGTGCTTTCTTAAAATAGTCTTCATGATCCCACTCCACTTTTCCAGATTTTGCCATGACATCTTTCTAAATTGAAAACCTTGTCACAATACTTTCCTTCTCACTGTTTCTTTGAACCCTTCTTTGTAGTCTCCAGAATGAAGTTCTGACTCCTTACTTCAGTACACAAAAGCTAGTGTGTCTTCTCCTGCCACTTCCTCTGGAAGCCTTGGCTGCAATCACACCAATGACTCTCCCTTTCTTCTATGCCTTGAACTTTTTTTTTAAAGTGCCCCCCCCCACAACTTCTGTCATTTCCTTTGAAAACCCAGCCTTAGGACTGGAGAGATAGCTCAGTGGTTAATAGCACTTAGTACTCTTACAGAGTTGAATTGGGAGTTGGTTCCTAGTACTTACATCATGGCTCACAACTCCAGTGCTCATCACTCTAGTTGCAGTGAATCCGATGCCCTATTCTGGCCTCCACACTTTCCTGTATGCACATGGTACATATAAAACTTACTCAGGCACAAGCATATACATAACCAAACAAAACAAAACAAAAGTAAGCTCCTCCAAGCTTAGAAGCTTTCCAGAGGATTCACTGGTTGGTAGTCTCTTTGCCCCATCCCCACTGGGACAGTTGCTTGAGATTTTAGCTTCATATCACCCTACAGTAGCTGCTCTCAAGAAAGTCTATTAAAGGAAAATCCTCTTGGCCCTTCTTTATATGTTTCACTGAATTATGATTACAATATCTGAAGCTATATTTTACCTGCCTTTGTTATTTCTTCCATTCTTGTAATCTAAGCTTTCATTTAGATCCCTGACATCCATGGATATCACTGTAAGCAAAGCCTCTCAGTGGATCACTCAATCAATCAAGCAAACACACACCAAACATATTATTTCATAAGATTTTCTTTGGGTTTCAAGCACTCCAAAACCACAGTTTTTTCTTCAAAAATCTCATCAACATTTGAAACCTGTTTCCTCATAGAAGTTCATGTCTGACTGTTTCAAATCTAGTCTAACTCATATATGTTGAACTTGAACATACCCAGTGGTGTTCTGGGTCTATGGTGGGAGCAGTAAAATAGGTGAATGGAAGAAGTTCAAGTTAAGCCTCCTTTGTGAATACTTGCATGGCTGTTTGTATTTGGAGATGGAGAAGAGAGAGATGACTGAGTTGAGATGGCTCTGCCTACCCCACTTTCTACTCCTCCTGCCTCCTCCCTATGAGGAGGGATGAAAGCATGACCAACTTGCTAGACAAATACCCAGGTAGCTATGCCACCTATGTAAATCACCTGCCTTCATGAGCTTTCTTAGGACATGGTTTTCTCCACTGAAAAATGTGATTGTGGTGCCTATGTGCCCAGATGCATGTAGAGGTAAGAGGGAAAAATTTTTAAAACTATTTTTATTTATTTTGTGAGTATGATTGTCTGTGCCTAGGGAAGTCAGAAGAGGACATGGGATCCCCCAGGACTGACTGAAGTAATAGTCATTTCTGAGCATCCATATGGATGCTGGGAATTGAACCTGGGTCTGCAAGAGCAGCCAGATCTCATAACCACTGAGCCACTTCTCCATCCCCCAGAGAACAAGGTTTATGAATTGGTTCTTTTCTTCTATCATGGGTTCTGGAGATGGAGTTAAGTTGTTGATTTTGCATGGAAAGCATTTTTTAAAAAAATTTATGTGTATGAGTTTTGTCTGTGTGCATGTATGTGTTCCACAGGAGCCAGAAGAAGGTATGAGATTCCCTGGAATTGGAGATATAGATTAATCCTCTATGTGAGTTCACGGAAGTGAACACAGGTTCTCTGCAATAGCAGGGCATGTTCTTAGCCCCTGAATCATCTCTACAGACCCCAAGACAAGTGCTTTTACCTATTAAGACATCTCATTGGTCTTAATTCCTAAAACTCTTCACTTGTTGGCACATTGGTGAATGCTTTCATTGGGGTTGGGAAAATGGGTAACTATCTCAGTAGAGTGAGTGCTTGCCTAATATGTACCAAGCCCTGAGTTTGATTCCAGGCGCTACTGAAATATAATTAGGCAATGGGGCACCTGCCAGTAATTTCAGCACTTAGGAGGTAGAGGCAGGAAGATCAGAAGTTTATGGTCATTCTTGGCTACATAGCAATTAGATACTAGCCTGGGCTTTATGGGACTGTATTTGGAGGAGGGATAACCTTTAGGGAGTTGGGCACAGTGGCACATGCCTTTAATCCTAGTACTGAAGAGGTGGAGGCAGGTGATCTGTAGGTAATGAGTTCCAGATGCACCCTGGATAACCTTGTCTCAAACAAACAAAAACCATTTAGGGAATGGGATTACCAAAGACTAGAGAGGCTTTTGGCTTAAGCTCGTTTTGCTTTAAGTGTTTCTTACTTTTCCAGATCTAGTAGCTCCCAAGTTCCAGGGCTCCTACAAATCGTTTAAGAACATTAAGAACAGTGTTATTTGTTTTCACAGAAGTCACCCAAAGCAATGAGAGGAGCCAGGAGACTTGGTATATGAATGAGAGGCTGTTTGCATGTCGTGGGCATGCCCCCCAAAAGAATGTCGGACTGTGATTACTACTCAGAGTGCAGCAAGACTGTGAGATCTCTGACTGAAGGACCCGTTGTTATTTATTCATGTTCCCACAACACAGTGCCTAAGGCAGCAAGGTGCTTGGCCAATACTAAGTCAGTGACACAAAGCACTGATATACCTAAGCAGGCAAGACTGCTCATAAGGATCCCTTTGCTCTTTACAAAGCAATATTTTGATGAGTAATAGATAGCCATAATATTCCATGAGCCAATTTTCAATTGTAAAATTCAGTATAATTTTATTACGAAAATTCAGTTTGCATTCACATACATACTACTGGACTCTCAGGATGAGGGATGAGTAGGAGAACCTGAGTTCAGATCCCCTGTATCTACTTTATAAAGTTGACAGGGCCTTGTGCATCTGTAAGCACCTTGCTGGAGAGGCAGACAGGAAAATGCCCGGAGTGTGTCAACCATGCAGTCTAGGCCAAATCAGTGTACTCCAGGTTTGCTAACAGACTGAATCTTAAACAAAAGCGGTGGAGGTTTAGAAAGTCCTCTGGCCTTCTCGAACATGTATACTCATCTGCATACGAGCACACACAATACTCTTCCTAATGTCATCTTTACAGACTGCATTTTCAGTATTGTCGAATGCTGCTTTTTTTTTTTTTAAGAATAAAAACATGGTTGCGATGTGCTTGATATACTTATCAGATAAAGCCATCTCTAACAAATCTGCCCTGAGTGAGTGAGGTTAACTTCCCATTCTCACTCCCTGAGCTCAGAGACTTAAAACTCCATGGCTAGGGTCAAATACAGTGCTCAGAACAGCTGGATGTGAATAACAGGTGTTGGGTCATTCTAACTAAAAGCAATGACCTGCTGGGCACAGGTGTGTGTGTGTGGGTGGGTGGATGGTGGTGGTGTGTCTGTGTGGTGTGTGTGTGTGTGTGGTGTGGGGGGATGTGTGTGTGTGTGGTGTGTATGTGTGGTGTAGGGGGCTTGTGGTGGTGGTGGTGTGTGTGTGTATGTGTGTGTGTGTGTGTGTGTGTTTGTGTGGTGTGGGGTGGGTGTGTGGGGGCGGTGGTGTGTGTGTGTGTGTGTGTGTGTGTGTGTGTGTGTGTGTGTGTGTGTGTGTGTGCGAACCAAACTTAAGGAGTCTGGTTCAAGTTCAGTAACTCAGAGGCAAGTCTCATAGCCCAGGCCTTGCTTTGCCGGTAACAGGGCGTGGCCGGAGCTGTCCACCATCTTCCCAGAAGCCTTTGCGACTATAAAAAGCAGTCTTGAGGGAGGCACCTGCACAGCAGGGCGTTGCACTGTGGGTGGCCAGTTCCCCAAGAAGGCGATGGACAAGATGGGACGTGTAGGGCACTCTGACATGGGTGGAGTGGCCATGTGGCCTCGACGGGTCTATACCCACAAGAAAAGGGCTGGTGAGAGGCTCAACCTCACCCCAAAGCCGGACCTAGCCCTCCCTGGGAAGACAGAGGCGCCGCCAGGTCGAAGTTCAGCAGGCCTGGGTGGCGAGTGGGCCTTGGCCGGGCCTCGACTGGGGTTGAGTAGGGGCACGAGCAGGTTCCCTGAAACATGGCACCCTCTCGCAGGTCTGAAGGGAAAGGGCAAAGAGCAGGGATTGCGGAAGATTACTGAAAACGAAGAATTGAGCAGACCCAGAGGTAGCAGCTCACAGCTGCCAAGGTGGGTAGCCTAGGATAACAGCCCTGAGCAACTTCGCTTTTTCAGAAAGTTTTAAGTTTAGCTTCAGCTTAGTAGGCTTTAATTCAAGGAGTCAAGGGAGAAGATGAATGTTCTGGTTCTGCTCCCAAAACACGGACCCAGGTCCATGGGGGTAGGGGGCAGAGTGCACACATATTCTCTTACATCTTTTTCTCACATATGTGTGTGTTATGTTATATATGCATTTACAGGTAACACACATATATATTTATTTATGAATGACAGTATCATGTAGCCCAGGCTGGCCTCAAATTCCCTACTTAGTAGAGGTTGCCCTTAACAGATATTCATGCCTCCACCTCCCAAATCTGGAATTAAAGATTTGTGCCATTATGCTGGGGTTTAAGGCACTCTACAAACTGAGCTACAGCCCCCAGCCCAGACAGATTCATTTTAGTATAGAAGGCTTGCCAAGTTACTTAAAAATGAACCTCTAGGCAAGCATTTGTGGCATCATTCAGCCTTTGGTGCAAATCTCGTAGTTGGTTCTCCAAGATGTCTTTAAAGGAACTTTCAGATTTTAAACTACAAAAAGACATAGTCAAAGACAGATGCTGTAAACTGTTTTGTTTATTTGCAGTCAGTTAAGTGTTACAGGAGGGGAAAGCCTGCGAGAAAATAGTCCTGGCAAGGAGACCTCAGATAAGAAGATAACTCCACTGAGAGTATGTATGTTTCTCCCATGCTTACATAAATTAAGGTAGAGACGGGTAGAAGCTGAGGTGACTCTGGATAAAAGAATGAACTTTGTTAATTGGTATCTAATAGTTTCTAGTGTTTTTATTGCATTGATATGTCTTTACCTAGGGAGCCCTTGGGTTTCTTAAGTAGGTTCATAATTATGCACTTCCAACTTTTTCACATCTTTTAGTGAATACTGGGGGAGATGTTACTTATTATTGTTCTATTTTTCAGATTCAAAATATTAATTTTTTTATATGGATGAAAGCTTTTTTCCCAAAATCTTAATATTTTAAGACCATTTTCATGTTTTCCATTTGAGTGTCCATTGGCAAATAGAAACATGATTGAGCACTAAGGATTCAGTATGCTACAGAGCATTCTAATATTCTTTTATTATAATCTAACTTTTTGAGGCAGGACCTTCACTGCATAGCAGAAGCTATCTTTAAACTTATAATTCTTCTGCCTCAGCCCACCAGACCTGTGTTTAGGAAATGACAGTTTCACATAAGACATTTAAAAAGAGGATTTTGATATTGTATTTTAACAGTATATGGTGAAGTATTCTGTGTAGATGATTTAAATATTCAAAATACCATAAAACTTTCTTCAAATTGCTGCATATTTCTGTGCTTTAAAAACATTTTACAATTTATGTATTACCTTGTTATTAAATAGTCTTAAAGTATTTATAATATTTTAGTGTCTTCAAAATATATCTAATAGATATACTAAAATGTGTTTGACTGTCTTATTGAGATTGAGAGACCAAGTTTCCAGTGTTTTTGTGGGCATTGATAGACACACTTCTATAGGATTTTCTTTGTTTCTCAGGTTGTAATTTAAGATAAGTACTTTGCATTAGGCCAAAGGGTGGATGTGTTCAACATTTTGTAATTAATGTTGGCAAATCAGCACACTCTTATTCAAAACGATAAAAGATGAAACACTGCATGTTATCTTCTTTTCCATTTCTTTGAATGCATATGAAATCAGTCCTTTTTTCTCATTTATTGTCCATTTGTATTTCTTCTGTTATGAAGTATCTGTTCATTATATACCGAAGATAGTTTTACACACATACCAAATATTTTCATTGACTTATGAGTCTTTAATTTTATTATTTTGGACTTTTATATCACTTTTTCTTTTGATTTATTTTGCTCTTTATTTAAAGAGTTAGGAAAAGTCCTTCCTTCCTAGGGGAACGGAAAAATATTCACCTTCTGTTTACTATTTTGTCTCACAATACTGAGTTGATTATCAATAGTTCCTCACGTTGATTCTTAGCAATTTAGTATTTATTTTTTGATTTAATATTGAATAGCAGATTATGTGTGATCAATATTCTCATATATCCATGAAATTAACATACAAACTTGACATCCATTTTTCAAAACAAACCAAATATCAAAAGAATAAAATTAAATTAAAATATCCATATCACAATTTGTACTATATCTTTAATTCTTATTTTTCCTCATAGGAGTCAGTGACTAATGACTTCAAGATTGACAGTTGTTCATCAAGTAGTGAACTAGTTTCAGGTAAGACTAACAGGTAACAGCCTTTTGTCTCTTCTCCAAACATATGCACTCATTTGTATTGCTTGGCATCTCATTTTGGTGAAACAGAAGATGTCTTTCCCCTAGTCTAACATGAATCCTTCTGACTGTGTTCTACGCATTTACACCAGTACATACAGAACTGTAGTTGTGACATGTTACAAAAGAGAATGACTTGAATGTAATCAATTTTGCTTAGCTGGAAATATTAGGAAATGCTTCCATGTGAGGGGAGTATCTGAAGTGAGATCTGAAGGTAAATAGCTATTCAAAAAGATGGCAAAGAGAAATCCATGCAAAAGAAACAATATGTACAAAAGTGTTCCTGCAGGCCTTGCTGGCACCCAAAGCTGGAGGAGTCACAGTAGGGCCTGCTGCTGGACACCAGGGCCAGAGCAAGTAAGCTCAGGGCAGAGGCAGGTACAGCTGACACAAGGGCTGCATCATGCCTTGAGGAGTGGACCTGCCAGTGTGGATCCAAGTTATGACCCTAGTGGACCCAGCGTTACATACAATGCAGTGGTGCCTCTTGATTCTGAGATGAGAGGATGTAAGAAGAAGTTTTACTTCTTGAACCCTTGTGAAAAGTATCAAGCCAGATGCCACTTCCATGGAAACTGAGTTTGTACATTTTCAAAATAGTTGTAGTCACCATACAACTTGTTGAATTTTGTTTAATCAGTGGTGTGGTTGCTTTCAAAGAAGAGGACACCATTGCTTTTAAATACTTGGCTTTTGAGAGACTATGCTCATGCAGATGAAGATGACTGTCCTAGTTAGAGTTACTATTGCTGTGATGAAACACCATCACCAAAGCAAGTTGGGGAGGAAAGGGTTTATTGGGAGTATGCTTTTCATCACAGTTCATCATTGAAGGAAGTCAGGACAGGAACTCAAATGAGCTCCTGGAAGCTGGAGCTGATGTAGAGGACATAAAGGGGTGCTGCTTACTGGTTTACTCCCCATGACTTGCTCAGTCTGCTTTCTTTTGGTTAGTTATTTATTTTAATTTCATTTTACATGCCAGTCACAGTTCCCCCCTCCACCTGTTCTCCCACCTCCCTCATCTTCCTCCCAGCCCACCATCCATCTATTCCTATCAATGAGTAAGGGCTGTCATGGGGAGTCAACAAAGCCTGGCTCATTAAGATGAGGCCAGACCAAGCCCTCCCCACTGCATTGAGGTTGGGCACAGCATCCCACCATAGACAATGAACTCCAGCAAGCTAGCTCATGCACCTCGTCCTACTGCCAGGGGCCTGTCAGATAACCAAGCTACACCACTGTCTCCCACATGCAGAGGGCCTAACTCAGTCCCATGGAGGCTCCATAGCTGTTGGTCTAGGGTTCATGAGTTTCCAGGAGCTTGGTTCAGCTACCTCTATAGATTTCTCCTTCATGATCTTGACCTCCCTTGCTTCGTTCTTACAGAAATCAGGACTACCAGCCCAGGAATGGCCTGCCCATGGTGGGTTGGGCCCTCACACATCAGTCACTAATTAAGAAAATGCTCTACAGGTTTGCCTACAACCCCATCTAATGGGGCATTTTCTCAATTGAGGCTCCCTTTTCTGTGATGACTTCAGCTTGAGTCAGTTAACATAAACCTATCCAGCACAATGACCATGTCTGCACATGTGCATCATGAATACCCAAGAAGACACTTATGAGAACACCTTTTTATGCTTTTTCAATAATCATTACCATCTAATGAAAATTTCCCTGATGACATTTGATTATTGACAAAATTAAGACAATAGAATTGGCTTACAACTTACAAGCAGCAGTAAAAGAAAGGGCCCATGCTTTCTTCTAAGGAGACCTCAAATCTCAACAGTGATAATGAAATAAATACATTTAGACTTCTAAATGCACCTTCAGCACTGGGCTTATTCATCCTTCATACTGGAATTTTACTGGCTCCTACAAAGACACTGAAATATAGATGATTTCTTCCCATGAGATACCAGATTGTTAGGTCTTTCATAATATGATTACTTTGATAACAAAGCTCACAGAGGCAAAATCAAAATCTATTTTGACATTTGTGCCAACATCTAGAAATATGAAACTATCTAGATCCACTGAGAAAATGCTTTGGTATGTCTTGCTGTTTGAGGCTTCTCAGGAGCCATTGTTATTAATATAAGTGATCAAGGATATTTCTAAATCTCTTGGTAAAGAAGAAAATACAGCATGTGTGTGGTACTGGCTAGCCTTCAGTCTTTGCTTAGATCAATCAGAAGAACATCGCAGTGTGACTGTTCAGCTGTCTGTACTTACAGCTTTTGGGGAACAGGTTTCCCCACTATCATTGATACAGACAACTGTAACAGAAACAATTTAACATCAAACCAGATACTAAAATGCATTAAAAAGCAATTGGGTACTTTGCCTACATTCCCACTAAGGAGCTAGGAGACTGAGCGAATAATCAAGTAATTTAAAGACTATTAAAGTTAAAAATAGTAATAATAAGGATTAAAAAAGAAGCCATGCATGATGGAGCATACCTTTAATCCCAGTGCTCAGGAAGCAGAGGCATTAGGATCTCTGTGAGTTTCAGTACAGACTACTCTACATAGTGAGTTACAGAACAGCCAGGGCTGCATAGGATGATCCTGTCTTAATTAAAAAAATAAAAATAAAAAAAGAAAGAAAGAAAGAAAGAAAGGAAGAAAGAAAAGGCAAGTAGGAGGTAGGGAAAGGGGAGTAAAGTAGGAATGAGGACAAGCTGTAAGGGTTATATTTTGTGCATGCTTATAATAACTTTTGCAGTTTGATATTATCTGAGTTCAAGCTGCTTTTCCCAGTGTCCATTGCCTAAATAGCAACTTGTGACCCCAAGTTTGTATCCAGGTCAGCGCGCGTACACCTGTGTGTGTGTGTGTGTGTGTGTGTGTGTGTGTGTGTGTGTGTGTTGTGTGTGTGTGTGTGTGTCAGTGCTAAATTTTGCTGTTGTTGCTGTCAGAGCAGTTTGAGTTTCTCTACAGGTTGTCTTTCTTGGCAGCCTTGGTTCAGGGTGTATATCTGGGCCCTTTATGAACACTGATTACCACACAGTGTGTAGCTCTTCTATTTATAATGTTGCTTTTGCATTGTCTTTCCCCCAGATCTCTTTTATACTTTTTATTTTAAGGAAACATCTCACTGAATTTCCCAGACTGGCCTTAAATTTTATAAACCAGATAGAATTTCCTGCTTCAGCCTCCTGAGTAGGTAGGACTATAATCCTATTCCATGAAGCATGAACCAACATGCCTACCTTAGTGTTAGTTTTTTAGTTTATGGTATAAACTAAGTTTTTAAAATTTATTTTTAATGTGTAGGAGTGTGTCTGCATGTATGTATATGTACCACATGTGTGTGTGTGGTGTTCAAGGAGAATGTCTCAGACTCTGTGGAAACAGAGTTAGGAGTGGTTGTTAGCTGCTACACAGATGAAATCCAGGCGATCTGCAAGAAAATCAGGTGTTCTTAACTGCTGAGCCATCTCTTCAGCTCAGTTTTTGTTTTGTTTTCTTTGGGGTTTTGTTTTTGGGGCTGAAGGGCTTGGACCCAGGGCTTCACACATGCTGGCAAGCATTCTACCACAAAGTCACACACCCAACCTTTAATTTGGTTTTACATATGCATATGAAGTTACTCTAATACAATTTGTTTAAAAGACAATCTTCTCTCCACTAAACTACTTACATGTCTTCATAAAAGTCTGTGCACATACATGAGCATATTTCTGGGATGTCTGTTCAGTCTTTTGTTGATCTTTTTTTCATTTGTGTTAGTCTGTCTTTTTTTGGGGGGGATGGAATAACTGGAGTCATCCTTTTTTCTTTTTAGCTAGTGAATTGCTTATATATAGAACTTGAAGTTTTGAGCTAGAATTACAGCTGAAATGAATAAAGAATAGGCCATAAAGGTAAAATTTAGGGAAGAATTAAAATGTGTTTATCAACATCAAAGTATTTTTGTCTAATATTTAAATCAAAATTACTGATAATATTATGACTTTCTAATTGTGTATGAAGTCAGTGTTAAATTCTTGGTATATAACTATGTGTATATTTCTACAGATGTGCATTAGTGGGATTCCAGTCTATTCTCTATTCTGTTCATCCTTTTTTATTTCACTTTATTTTACAGGGCTAACTGTGGAGCCTGATATTTCCAGTTGTCCCTTGAGTTGTTCAGACATAGACTCATATTCAAAGAGTCCTGAAGAGAGTAGAAGTAGTAGCTTCTCATCACCTGAGATCTTCAGAGGATCAGATTACTTGGGTGAGAGTAGAATTTTCTCCTTCATTGGCTGAGCTATAAAATTGTTGTTTTGTCCATAGATTTTTACAGTGAATACATTTGCACATAATGAAGTGAAGGTATATTTGTTTTTAGGTATAATGCCATCTGGGTGTGCTTCTATTTGTTTTCTTTATTTTGTGCAGTTTTCTTACTCCAGTATATAACATGTTAAGTAGGCCCAATCCCTGCTTGAATTTTCTTCATGCTATTTACATTTATTATTTATTATAAAAAGAGCCTTTGGTTGATGACAGAAGATAACATAGGCTTTTCTTTATAACATCCTGCAACAACAGAAAAGTGCCTTTTTCTTTTCGAATATAAACTCTTAAAGATACAGTGAGTTAGAAAGAAGAAGGTATGAATCCTCAGCCAGACATAAAAAGACAAGTATTGTATATTTTCCTCTCATATGTTGAAACAAAACAGAAAAGTGACTTGAAAGTAAAAGAGGAGAATCTAGGGCAAAGGAGACCTAGTGGAGGAAAGAGGAAGGGAGGGAGGGAGGAAGGAAGTTTCTCTATCTCAACATCCCAAATGCTGGGATTCTCTAGAGATGTATCTTTTGGAAAGTTATTTATTTATTTTTTTTTTTTTTGGTTTTTCGAGACAGGGTCTTTCTGTATTGCTTTGGAGCCTATCCTGGAACTAGCTCTGTAGACCAGGCTGGCCTTGAACTCATAGAGTTCTGAGTTCCACCTGCCTCTGCCTCCCGAGTGCTGGGACTAAAGGCATGTGCTACCAATGCCTGGTGGGATATTTTCGTCAGAGGGATTATGGATTAGATGTTAATAATAGGGATACTTTGATGTTTTGATATGTTCATCTAAATTACTCATTTCTCTGTGGTAGTTTTCTATTCTTTCACTTTGGATTAGCTATGTAGCTTGCTTTGAGCAACAGAGTATCAGTAAACAAATATAATAAGGCCTAGAAATGTGCTTACTTGGTTGGACTTATGCTTTTGTGCTTTTAGAATGGTGAAATATACATATCCTAATTAACTTCTATTACTGTTCTGGGACCCAAGAATGATGGGTAATAATAATCTACTGGAGATAACTTGGAAAGCTGCACAGAGATGTTCCAGTTGGTCTTCAGATCTGTCATCTGAAGCAGAACTACCCAGTCTAGCCACAATAATAGAGGGTACACATGATAAAACTATAGCTGATGTCATGTTCAATGGAAGAAAAAAACTTAAAGGATTCACTAAGATCAGGAACATGATAAAGTGTCCACTCTCATCATTCCTATTCAATATATCTCTTGATATTCTAGCTAAAGAAGTAAGAAAAGAAAAGGAAATAATAGTGATATGACTAGGGAAGGAAGAAATCCAATTATTCTTATTTGCAGATGAGATGATTCCATAGGTAAAAGACCCTAAAGATTCTGCTAGGACATTCTCAGAACTGGTAAACCTTTTTGGCAATGTAGCAAGGTACGAAATTAACATTAAAAATGTCCAATTAACCTCTCTGTGCCCCAAAGACAAACATGCTGAAAGAGAAATCTGGGAAGCAATCCCAGGAATTCACAATATCCTTGCTCAAAATAAAATGCCTTAGAATAAACCTAACCAAGAGAGTGCTAGACCTTTTATGATGAAAACTTTAATACAGTGAAGAAAGAAACTGAGGAAGATACCAGGAGAGACCTCTCATACCCATGGATTGAAAAATTAATATTGTAAAGATGTTCATCCTATCAAAAGCAGTATGAAGATTCAATGAAAATATCAATCAAAATTCCAATTCCATTCTTCCCATAAATACAAAAGGCAATTGTGTGTTTGTATGTGTGCACAAGTGTGTGTAGATCATGGAGCTCACCAATTTTCTAGACTGGCTGGCCAGCAAGCACCAGGATCTTCCTGTTTCTACCTCCCCAGCACAGGAGTTAGAAATGCTGCTACCATGACCCAACTTTTTTTTTTCATGCTCAACTTTTTTTATGTGGAAGCTGCCAATCAAACTTGGCTCCTCAGCAAGCACTTTATCAACTAAGCCATCTCCCCAGCTGCAAAGCAAAGCAATCTTAAAATTTCAGGGAAGCACAACAGATCCTTGGTAGCCAAAGCAATCTTGGACAAGGAGGATAATACTCTAAGATTCAATTAACAATGAACTGTAGGAACAGAAACAGAATGATACTGGCACTTAAACAGACACAAAAATCATTGGAATAAATCAGAGAACCCAGGTAGATGTCTGTACAGCTACAGACACCTGAATTTTGGCAAATACACCAAAAATAAACATTGTTGAAGATATCCTCTTCAACAAATGATGCTGGTGTCTTAGTTTTCTGTTGCTGTGATAAACATCATCACTAAAAGCAACTTGTAGAGGAAAAGGTTTAAAACAGTCTTACAGCTTATAGTCTGTCTAGAGAAGTCAGGCTGAGAACTCGAGGCAAGAACCTGGAGGCAAGAACTGATGGAGGAGTGATGCTTACTGGCTCACTCCTTTTATCGTGATCAACCTGTTTTCTCATACCATCCAGGACCCTAGGATGCAGGAATGACAGCATCACCAATAATGGCCCTCCCATATAAATCTTTAATTAAGAAAATGCCACACAGGCTTGACTACAGACCAATCTGGTGAGGATATTTTCTCATTTGAGATTCCTTTTCCCTAAATGACTCTACCTTGTGTCAAGTTGACATAAAATTAGCCAGCATAATTGACCCTTTTTTAACTTGATAACATACAAACACATCACTATTCAACTAGAATCTTTCTTTGTCATTTGTCTCGAAGATGGTATATTAATATTAACAACACAATATAAAACATTCCAGCTCTTAAAAGTTCCAGTCTTTAAAATTTCAAATACTTTACAAGTTCTGTCACTTGCCATTCATGGTGGTACATGACTTTAATCCTAGTTCTCAGGAAGCAGAGGCAAGTGAATCTCTGCGAGTTTGAGGCTAGCCTGATCTACATAGTAATTTCCAGGGCAGACAGGTAACATCCAGAGGTCCTGTCTCAAAAATAAAAACAAACAATAATAAAAATTCAGTCTCTTTAAAACATCCAAAGTCTCCTTCAAAGTTCAGAGTTTCTCTAAAATATCAAAAGTCTCTCTAAAATTCCAAAGTCTCCCCAGGCAGTGAAGTCACATACCTTTAATTCCAGCACTTGGGAGGCTGAGACAGGCAGATCTCTGTGTGTTTGAGGCCATCCTGGTCTACAGAGTAAGTTTGAGGACAGCCAGAACTACACAGAGAAACCCTGTCTTGAAAGACAAAGACAAAAACAAACAAACAAACAAACAAAAAGATTAAGTAAATGAAATACATAGATAACTAAATCATCTGGGGAGATAGGAAGACATTGACTCAGGAAAAGCAAAATATTGCCATGATATACCAGAAGAATAAGATTTTTGTAGTATTTTATCATCATATCATCTAATATGTCTGGAGATATATCTCAGTGGTAGAAAGCTTATCCAGCATGCATGAGGCCCTGGGTTCAATCCGCAGTCTCCATATGTAAAAAGAATATCTGATGATATAATTGTATACTATGGGCATAGTAGAAAGTCACAGATAGCAACAGGGATAGCACCCTTCCATAGCCAAGGTCAATAGAAAACCTAGAACTAATACCAGGTTATAGCAGTGTGACTATGTTGCTCACTGGCACGAGACTATGAGAGTCAGCCAGTTTTGTGTATCATGCCATCCTGTAGCTCAGTGATCTCTGTAAAGAAAAAATCTAGACAGAAGACAGAGACCTGGAATAAACCATAGATTCTTATCTTGATGCCATCCTTGTGTTTTGTTCTATTCAAAACCTTCAATTACCATAATCTGGAATAGATAGAACTCTAAATTTGGGGACATGAAGTAACCTGGCACTTGTAGGCTTTTCAAAGTTTTATGTCATTTTTAAACTTTGAAATTACATTTACTTATTTATGGTGTATACCATGACATATTCTGCTTTTTAGATTGGGAGCATCCCAAGTTGGAAGAATATAAGACCTGCAAGAATTCCACTCTTCTAGACACCAGTAAAGCAGTAGCTGTAGAGAAGGTACCACAGCTTGCAAACCTCTCAGCAATTCTGAGTGAGTTTTACATTGATTTTTCTCTGTCATCTATGTTGGGAAATGAAAGTAGTTTTTTTTCTCTCATAAATGATTTCTAATTTAAACCCCAAGCCAAGATTGTTTTTGGCTACAAATAATACCTAACAATAGTTTTAGTACACATGGGTTTCTATTTTATTGTTTATATTTTACTTACTATGTGTGTGCATGCATGATACACAAGCATTTGCATGTGCTGTACTGCACATATAGACTTCAAAGAACAGCATGAAGGAGTTCTGGGGAACAAATTCACATTGCCATCCTCAGCAGCAAGCACCTTTATCCAAGAAACCACATTGCCAATCCTTAATTTTAAAAATTACATTTATTTAGTATGTGGATGTGGGTGCATGCACATATATGTGTGCCATAACATATTTGTAAAGATCAGAGGAAAACTTTTGGAAGCTGGTTTTCTCCTTCACAACATGAATCCTGGGGATTGAACTCAGGTCCTTGGGAATGTTTGGCAAATACTTTACTGACTGAATCTCTCCCAGCCCAATACAATTTTTTTTGTTACTGTTGTTTGTTTGCAGTGGTAGAGATTGAACATAGAACCTTGCACATGCTTGGCATGCTGTCATCTCACTGGTCCACCTCATTTTTCAATATAGGCTTTCTGACTATGCCTGGCCATCATTGGTTAAGCCAAATACATGGGTTTTGTAATTGACAAGTCATTGTTTTCTCATTGTAAAATGGGGAAAAATAAGTTGGTGTGTTTGACTGACTTGGTGATTGTAAAATTCCCAAGGTAATAATTGTGAAATATTCAGATTATAAAGAGCTACCCAAATATTTATGTATCTCATAATACTTTCTTATGTTTTAGTTTGATATTTTCAAAATACCTTTGCATAATTTAAGAGACATATATGAAAAACACTATAAAAGAGTCAAACATAAAATCAGGTGTTCTGTCACTATGTATGCTGAAGAGAAATATTTATTTTTGCCCAGGATAATTTTAGCTTCTGATGTGCCTTTGGATTATCTCTATGTCTAATGGATTAATTTTTCCCCCTTTGGTAGGTTCTTCTTCAGAAAACTATGAGAAATGCCATAGAAAAATGTAAGAACTAAAAATTTTGATACTGTACTTTTCAAGACCCTTTATTGTAAGTGCTATATAATAGTGATGACTGCCATTCCACAAACTCAGAATAGCTTCATTCATCCAGTGTTTGATGGGTACTTACTCTGGTCCAGGAGTATTCTAATAGCTGGGATACAGTAAGAAGTAAAAACAATTAAACACAAAATTGCTGCCCTCATCACATCCACATTACATTTTGGAGAGAGAGAGAGAGACAATAGACAAGTGAATATGCTGCTACATGCTGTGATGTAAAGGACAGTATCAAGAAAGGTAAAGCAAGGTGGACTTTGGGGTGTTGGAGTTGAAGTTTGCTACTTTAAATAATGTGGTGGGAGGCTGCCATTGGAAAGACATCATTTGAACAGTTATCTAAAGGAAGGGCAAGTTAGGCAAAGAGCACTTTAGGTCCAAAGAATAGACAGAGGAGGGTCTGAGGTAAGAGGCTGAGCTTCTAGGACATTTGAAAGTAGAATTAACAAGATTTGTTGGTAGACCCAGTGGTGGAGTGTGAGAGAAAGTGGTCAAGGCTGACTCCACAATTTTGAGCTAATAGCATATGTGTCAAATAACAATTAATAAAAATCAGTGGTATATTTTTTTATCAAAGTTATTTTGTCAAAATTGAATCAGGCTTCATTTTGTGGGGATGTATCAATCAAGCATTTATGAATTCATGTTGGCTGCTAACCAGACAGCTTTGGATACCCAACTTTGTGTGCTAATTGCAATCATTTCAAGATTTTTCTTCTCTTCTTTGGTTCTCTCTTAGTCTGGATTTTTGTAAGTCTACAGAATTGATAGTTTAGTCCTTGCACAACTACCAAAGCGATTTTTCTCATGGTGAAGAAGATGGAAAGGCACTTTTTTCTTTCTAAATTTATATTAAATAAAAGTAGAAAAATATTCTATTCTAGTGGATTGCAAATAATGACATCATCTAAATTGAACTGGAATTTTATTTTTTTTTTAGATTTTTGGTCATCTGAAAGGAAAAAAAACCTTATTCATTGTGAATTGTGATTCTAATCATGTGCACTATTCAGTGTAACATTGAGAGTTTCCATTAAATATGCAGATGATTATATAGTTTTCTTAAAGCTTAAGAACAGACTGACCTCTATTGGAACAATAACAATGGATTATTTGTATAATTGTTTCAAAACACTCTGTTTTAGGGGGAATTATTGTGGGGATAGTTATTTTTAAATAATACTAATATTGCTTATGTTGAGGCTCTTGCAAAAATATGAATAGAATTGCTAAGGAGCAGACTGAGAAGTGTGTTTTTGGAGGAATATATTTGTTTCAGAGCATGCATACTGAACTGAGAGTTTGTGATAGAGATAGGATCTAAGTTCAAGGGGCTGGCCTCAATCTGAACTGTGAAAGACCTTGAGGGTGGGATTTTTATTTTGTCCCAAAGATACTGAGAGCCACTGAAAGGTTTTCATCACAACTAAAGCAGATTGTGAAAATTTTAAAATAATTTTATTCTCAATGAATGCTTATAGAAAACACAAGAAAATGGGAAGGCATCCCACAGAATGGAGGAAGTCTGCTTCCAGATGTACTGATCCAATGCCAAAGAAAACCAGGGTCAGACAATTGTATGTGGTGGGGTGGGGGTAGGGAACAAGCACTAGAGAAGGACAGATAGGGCTGCTGTCCCCATAGCACTGAGTTCTAGTGGGGCAACACTTAATAGTGGAAGTTTGGAGTTATGCTAACACACTGAACTCTTTATTGCTTAAAAATAGCTGTTTATTCAGAGGATACCTGAGATGCATTAGTAAAAGGTGAAAGATTTATATGCTCTGAAAAGAAACTAGAGTATATCTGAATTTAGTAAATGAATTTAGTAAGAGGTTTACATCAAGGCTCGTTCAGAGGCAAGGCAGTCCTATTTGGAAATAAGAACTTAAATAGTTTTTCTACTGCATTCAGCTTTTCAATGAACTAATCCAAGAATTTAGAAAAATCTCCTCTCACATTTGGTTTTCAACTCTGTTGACTTCAAGGAAATTTGTCTTTCACAGACCTTGTTTTGGGGTCCAACACTGAACTTGGATCCTTTCACATTCTTGTAATACTCATGTATGTATTCTCCTGCATGTATAATTAGAATGAAACACAGTCTCATTTGTGGTAGTACCAAAGAGAGAAGATATTCACTTCCAAAAACATCGTTCATATTTGGAATATTTACCACAAAAATCCTAGGCAACAGATTTGCCATTTCTTTGCATAAATAAGGCAAGTAAGACTCCCAAAGCTGGGGTTAAACTGAGGTCTGTGTAATTCTAAACATCATGGCTTTCCTCTACACATGTGTCACACTAATAAATGTGTAAGTACATGTTACTATTATCTGTTACTATAAATATGATGCATTTTTCTAACCAGTTATATTTTCCTACAGAATAATTAATTGCACATCTTTATTTTCAGTATAATTTGAGGATAACTTAAAGTTACTAAAAGATTAGAAAATTTCACTAATTTGTTCTTATTACAGAGGAATGACATTAGAAGCCCCACATATTTCTCCAGAACCAAAGTCTACTTCAAATTTAACATCAGGTAATAATTAGTGGCACTAATATCTGGTGTAGTGATTTGGTACAAGACAGTGATTTTAAAGTCCCAGATCACAAGAAATTCTTGCTCTTTTTCCCATAGGCTGATGCTCCAGAGAGTTAGTCTTCTAGCATAGTCACATAGCAGACTCTGCAGTTTTTCAGCCCCAAGAGCTCTGAGACAAGCAGGCACTGGCAACTAGTTAGGAACAAGAGGAGTCCAGTTACTCCTGGTTATCTGTGATCCATGCAGCACTCTAAGCACACCTTATACTGAAAACAAACAATAATGATTGATTTATTTCTTACACTAAGAGAGATAATAAAAGTGAAAGTGAGACCTGGGATGTAGCATGCTTGCCTAGCATGCACAAGGCCACATGTTCAATACTGAACACCAAATATTAAAAAAAAGGGGGGGGACCATTAATGGAAGAATGGTAATGGTATAAAAACCAATCACAGTTTTACCTAGGTTTTGTCAAATCAAGAGTTTGAAAAATATTGTTTTAAAAGCATTCTGGTAGAGCAGAGTAATGATTCTGGAAGTATATATACTTTTGTATTCAACTTTTTCATTTTTTCAGTTTCCTCAATTTGTTAGACAGATGTCAAAGAAAGGGTGGATGAAACAAGCCATTTTCACAGGGAAATTCTGGAAAGGACCAGAGTGATCTGAGTAGCATACTTAAAACCTCATCTTTAGAAGCTGGGTGTGTGTAAGATGCAGGGATTTGGGAGTCACTGTGGACATTTAAAACTGGAGACCAACATTCTTCTAACCCCATGTGCATAGTCAGTGTTGCTCTCCAGTCAGATGCAAAGTTGTAAGCTAAAGGAGCTTTCTTTGGCCTTGGTCATTCCATGTCCATATTCTGTGAATAATTAAACCATCCTTATCTTCTGTCATGTCCTCTTACTTGAACTCAACTTTAGCTCATACATAACTGTAGGCACTGGGGCATCTTTGGAGGACTACCAACCCAACCATAAGCATATTCTATTTTACAAGCAATGTGGCACATTTGCACCTTCATGGTTGCTATGCTAACATCCCAAGTCTTGATGACCTCCCCTTCAGTAACCATCATCCTGTCTGGAGTTGGTATCCATCCCCTCAAAGATCAACAGCACTGACTACCACTGGTTCTAGCCTGTCTTCATTTCTTTGGAGCCCCTCAGGGGGTACCTGAAGCTCTGGTCAAGGTATCAATAACTGCAAGGTGCCCTGCTAAGTCATCCATGAACCACACATGGGAGGTCCTCCTACCTCTGCTACCTCCATGGCCAGGTTCTCTCTCCTTGGTTTTTTGTTTGTTTGTTTTTGTTTTTGTTTTTGAGCAGAGTCTCATGTAGCTTAGACTGGCCTTGAATTTTCTGTGTAACTGAAGATAACCTTCATTTTCTGATCCTCCCACCTCTACTTCCTGAGTGCTAGGATTATAGGCATGCTCTACTACACTGAGTGTATGTGGTGCTGGGTATGGAATTTAGGGCTTTTTACATGCTAGTACCAACTGAACTACATCCTTAGCCTTGTTTTTGTATTCTTTTATGTGTTGATTCACTTGAGATTTAAAATTAAATAAATCACACCTTGCTCTTAAGGGTATTTTTATATACCCTTTAATTAAACAATCCCAACTATGTTCTATCTGTGTGCCAGGCTTTTTACTGAGTATTAAGCAATCAGGAAGTAGCTGTGTTCCTGCCGTCGTCTCAAGAGTCCTACAGTCCAGTAACGGACATGCACAAAATTACTTTCTGGTAATAATTACTTGGGCTCCTTGGCAATCTTATCTATTGCTATTAGCTTAAAATTTGAGAACTCTTCAAAGCTAATTTCTAGACTCTAATCTCTTTTTAATCTGTTGTATGAGATACATGTATAGATGACCTGTAATATGCAGAATCTTAATACTCTCAGGCTAGACACTTCCCTGAGGTTAAGACTCTATGCAGGTGTCTTTTGAATGTCTTCTCTTACATGCTTCAAGGGCACCCATAGACATTCACAAAGTCTAAGCAGTCAGCACCTGCAATATGACATAAACTAATTTAGTTTTGGAGAAACGTGACAAAGTCCTTGACTTAACAAAGTTATGTTACAGTGGAGGGGCAAGAAGAGATTAAACAGATAAATATGTGATATAATTTTTATAAATAAGAGTAATGAAAGAAGTAAGAGCATATATAAGAATTTAAATAAGAATAATGAAAGAAAATTAAGCAAGGTAAAGAGTGTCACTGGGTAAGCTATTTTAAAAAACTATCTATTGTGTATGAATGCATGTGACAGGAACACACATGCCCCAGCGCATGAGTAGAGATCAGAACACAACTTTGTGGAATTACTTCTTTCCTTCCACCCATATGTGGGTTCTGAGAATTGAGCTCAGGTCTCTAAGCTTGCTTGGTAAGTGACTACACTCATAGAGCCATCTTGCCAGCCCTTAGGTGTGGTATTTTAAATGGAGTAATTAAGGCAGTCCTATCTGAAGAAGTACATTTATACAGAGCCTGAGTAAAATGAAAAGAAATACCAATTTCGCAGTTTCAGAGCAAGTAAAAAGGTCATGAGATGGGAATGGCTGAGCATGTTAGAGGAAGAAGAAAGAGATTCGTGTGGATTGAACAAAGCAAGACTGAGTGGTTGAAACTCTGGTCTGAGAGCTAGTTAGTTGTGTGCCTCAGTGAAGACTAGGATTTTTTATTATATATGTGCTGAGAAATATACGTTGAAGCATATTAGAAAAAGGAAATGAAATGACCAGGTATATATTTTCATTTTTAAGCTTTTTTATTTTAGAATTTATTTCAATTGAATTTAAATAACCCCATGAAGCTGGTCGTTAACACATTGTATAACCCTGTTCTAAAGTATTCATTATATTATAGTTTATTGTTTAATATGTATATATTAATGAGGTAGGAAATAATCTACATATATGGGAAAGTACTATTTCAACTGTCCGATGAAACTCATTGGAGAGGAGGAAACTGTAGGCTGAAGGATCTCTTAGTTTCCAAGAGCCCTTAGGTTCTGTGCCTTTGTCCATATTTCTGTGGTCTTAGGATTCTAAAAAGTGTGGATATATAGGTATATGGTATATAGTAGATATATGCTATATGGTAAAAAGTAAGGGGAGAAGAGTGGGATCAAGGAGACCTTATTAAAGCTATGGCTGTGTCAGATAATGGTATCTGAAATCACTGTGACTATTGCTATATATATCACCTTGAATAAAATAATTCAACCTGGAGATGTGTTTAAGTGAAGCTTTCATGAAGGCAATTTTCGATACTTGACTCTGGATTTCAGGACAGAAGCTGTTTACACACACACACACACACACACACACACACACACACACACACACACACACAATTTGGAGTTGGAATGTAGGTGTTTTGATGACATAGGTGAAATCACATAGGAAGTAAAAATGAATTAAGACATCTAAAAAGAATGGGACACTTCAACATGTAGGAGTAGGGAAAGAGGGAAATGTCCATCAGAGGATGCATAGGCTTAGTGGCTAGTACATCAGAGGAAACCTAGTAGGGAACTGTGCCTCAGAAGCCATGAAAGGACTCAGAATAGAGTAAACTAGCAATGACTAAATCAGATAAATATTTTAATTTTTAAGCTTTTCTATTTTAGAATTTGTTACATTTCAATTGAATTTAAATAATCCTATGATGCTGATAGTTAACCCCCTGAACATCATTCTAAAGTATGGTGTGGTGGTGCATGCCTTACATACCAGCACTTGGGAGGCAGAGGCAAGTAGTTCTGTGAGTTCAAAGCCAGCCTTGTCTACAAATTGTGTTTGTAAAACTACATAGTGAGACTCTATCTCAAAATAAAAATAATGACAATAATAATAAAGCATTGTATAATATATATTAATGACATAGAAAATAATTTAAAGTAATCAGAGACTAACTAGAATTAAAGCTGTAGACTAAGAATTATCACAATCCAGATCTAACCTGGTCCAGTCCTAATCTTAGTAAGTATAGCAAATCAATAACCTAGAGGTCATCTTCAGAACTCCCATGTTTGTTATTGTTCTGTTTAATCTATTACAAAATGTTGCTAATAGTTTTTATCTCCTACAAGCTCATAAATTACCTACTGTTCTTCATCTTGGGAGATGAAAATGAGAGAAGTAATCCATTAATCCCTAGAGTTCCAATTAATCTTGAATTCAGGTAAATGACAAATATTCTGATAGAAGTGTGCTTCAAATACTACAAAAATAAATACTGTTAAACTGGATTACTTAAAAAAAAGTTTTTACTGAAATTCAAATTTAACTGAGAATCCTTTATTTTCTCTGGAAAATATTTTAGGCTGGGGAATATGTAAGCAATCATGAATCATAAAAAGAACTTTGTATGTCAAAGTAAAGAGTTGGAATTTTAATTTTATGGCAGTGGAAAGCCTGAAAAAATCTTTTTCTTTCTTTCTTTTTGGTTTTTCAAGACAGAGTTTTCTCTGTGTAATAGCCCTAGCTGTCCTGTCCTGGAATTAGCTCTGTAGACCAGGCTGGCCTTGAACTGACAGAGGTCTGCCTGCCTCTGCCTCCCAAGTGCTGGGATTAAAGGCATGTGCCACCACTGCCTGCTGCAATTTTTTTCATTTTTTTGTTTTAAAATAATAACCTTTTTAGAACCAATCAGCAGCAAGTGCTCTTAGCCATTCCTCCATCTTTGAGAAACCCTTTATTTCTTTATTTAATGATTTATTTATCTTTATTTTATGTGCATTGGTGTTTTGCCTGTATTATGTCTATATGAGGGTGTTGGATCCTTTGGAACTGGAGTTACAGACAGTTGTGAGCTGCCATGTGGATGCTGGGAATTGAACACAAGTCTTTTGAAAAAGCAGCCAGTGCTCTTAACCTCTGAGTCATCTCTTCAGCAACCACCTGAAAATAAACAAACAAAACAAACAAACTTAGGCAAATGACACTGGGTTTGCATTTTAGGTAAATAAGAAGACAATGGATTATAGAGAGAAATGAAAGCCCTTAGGATAATATAAAGGCAAAGCTTTTGGTGCCTCAAATCAGGGTAGTGGTACAGAGAGTAAAAACAAGTTGGATGTGCAATATTAAAATCAGATCATAATATATACAGTGCTAGCACTCAATGAATACCATTGCTCTGTACTGAGTCCGGGGAGTGGAGAACAGGGAGACATGAAGAGGAGCATAAAAGCCAGAGAGAGGAGATGGTCAGCACCATCCAGTGAGTGTTTCTGCTGATGTCATGAGGTCTAACCTAGACTGCTTTGTATTTGATAGTACGTAGGAGAGGCAATGAAGTCAATACATAGATGGCTCTTTGAAGATGTAGTTGCAGGCAAGATGGGCATAAGGAGAGAATATGGAACACAGGAAAAGTCTCAATAGCATAGGACAGACCTCAGTTTTAAATGCTGATAGAACCAGATATAGTAGCAGGTCATTGCTACTCAGGAGACTGAGGCAGGAGAATGGCTACAGCCTAGAAATTAGTCTGGGCAACATAGAAACCCCATTTCACTAATAAGTAAATGACTAAATACTGGTAGGAAGGTAACAGTAGAAAGGGACTGTTTAATACAGGGAAGTAGAAATAAAGAACTTTACTTACAGATACACATCCCTACTAACTCAAAAGTAAACCATGTATTTTACTTCTGTAAAACATGGAGCACTGAGATGGGTTTTGTTTTATATATTGGGGTATGGGTGTTTTGCCTGTATATATGTATGCATACCATGTATTTGTGCAGTGCCTGCAGTGGCCATTGGATCTCTTGGAACTAGAGTTACAGATGGTTTTGAACCACCATGTGGGTGGTGATCAAACCCAGGTCCTCTGCAAGAGCAGCCAGTGCTCTTATACACTGGGCTATCTCTATCCCAATCTGGCATTTTTAAAGGATATTTTTTTTTAATCTGAGGCAAGTTAGATTATTCAACATACATTATGTTTTTCTTCCTTTACAAAGGTAAAGTCATTAAAACCAGGGGTTTGATTTGGTTTTGAATTTGAATTCTCTATCCTCTGTACTTAATTAGTGGCTGGTTAAATAGAATTAAACTATGTTTTCGTTTGTAGAAAATGAAATGTCTGAGGTTATATTTGCTGAGCAAACTGGCCCTCCAACCACCAAAAAAACAAGGAAAAAAGCAAGTATTGAAGCAGGATAGCTATACAAATAATTGTACTAATAAAGGATGTGATTTTAATTAACACATGTAGAAATCCTTTTCTATGTATTTAGAGCAATAGAAAAAACTTATTTTTGGAACATAATACTTTACTCAATTTTTAAACACCCTATGAATACCATACATAAATATATACTTTATATAAGTTTAATAAAAGAGAATTAAAATGTATTTTAACATTTTTTTCTGATTTCCTTTCAATGACAAGGTACACATTATTCATTAAGGTACAAATAAGACATTTACTCTATAACAAGAGCAACATTTTATGCTTAACACTATATAATCTTTTGGAATCTGAAGTTCTCTGGGGAAGGCTTTGGACTTTGAAAGCCTTTCATTAATTGTATAGTTTCTTTATGTCATTCCATTCAGATAAGTAGTTTTTTGTTGTTGTTTGCTTTCTTGTTTGATGATATCTCTTTTATAGCTGATTTTAAAAAAAGCTTATATTTTCATCATTTTTTAGTGGTTTGTGGCAAGTCTTTCTTGCCCTAAAATCCAGTTTCTTCCTATTATATAGATTAGGGAACAATTTCGGAAAAGGCAAACATGTTAGCAGGGAGATCTAGCATAAGAAATTAAAACTAGTTTTGGCTAGAGACTTTGTGTTTGGCTTTGATTAAGGTGTTTTATAGAAGGGATAGAGATGTACTTGGATCAAAGATAATTTTGCCTGTAGGAGAAGGAGTGAGACGTATTGACAAAGACTACTAATCCTTGACTTGAGAAGCTGATTTGATAAAGGTAACATTGGAGGGGTTGGAGAGAGGACTCAGTTGATTAAGTGCTTGGCATAGAAGCAAATGTAGCTAGTCTTTCTCTGTCCTGCCAGCTAGCTCCCAAATCACTACATGAAAACTTATTATTAATTATAAGCTCAGCTGATAGCTTAGGCTAGTTTTTAGCTAGCTTTTATAACTTAAATTAACCTGTTTCTATTGATCTGTGTGCTGTCTTGAGGCTTGCTTACCTCATCTATGTACTGTCCATCCTTCTTTCCTGTGTCTCTTTGCATCTCTGCTTTCTTCCCAACATCCTCTTTGCTCCCCCAAATCTTGTGTAGCTATTGGCTGTTCAGGTTTTTATTAAACCAATCTAAGTGACACATCTTCACAGTATACAAAAAGATTACCCTATATTTCCCTCTTTTTGTCTAAATAAAAAGGAAAGATTTTAACTCTAACAATGCAATGCTATATATAATAAGAAAAATTACCAAGTAAGAAATACATTTACAATGCCCAACTCATTAGAATTTGGTAAATTTGGAGATAATGTTACATTATTTATCCTCTCTTGTTGAGTCCAAAGTTTTGTACCTAATTTACTTTCTATTATGACTAAGAAAAACTGTAACTATAACTATTCAGTCTTTAACACCATCAGTTACCCTGTAACAGGTAGGAACTGAAGGATGCTGAGAGAACCTGGCAGCCAGTTCTGCTTTGATATGTTACATAGTCACCTCAAGTGTTTGTCCCGGGTTTGAAACTTAACACTTGGAACATGGTAATGAATTTTCAAATATAACGCCACAGCACCAAAGCATTATAACATGAAAGAAATCATTGATAACTATAATTCATCAAAATTCATACCTGATCAGTGAAAGCTAATATTGAGAAAGAGAAGACAAACATTGCATTTCTAAAAGGTATATGGGATGATGATCTAAAACACACAAAGAACCTTTAAAGTTTAAATATGAAGATGGAGTAATGGACAGTGGACAGAAGATCTGAGCATATATTTCACTTAAATAAGGTATGCAGATGGCAAGAAGTGTATTGATTGTTGTTCATCATCACATTCCTATAGAAAATTGCAAATAAAACACACTAGTAGAATGTTCCAAATCTAAAACATGTACAGTGCCTAATTCTGCTGCAGATGTATAGCAACAGGAGTGCTTGGTCATTGCTGGAGGCTACAGATGACACAAACACACTAGAAGACGCTTGCACATTTCTTTTAGCAAAATTGGAATTTCTTTTTTTATATTCAAATATTTTTTATTTAATTTATTATTTTACATGTCGATCCCAGTTCCCTCTCCCTCCCTCCCTTCCTCACTTTTACTCTCTCTGACCTCTCATATGCACCCTAACCACCCTTTCCTCCCATCCCCCCACCCCAATTCCATATGTAGGGCAATGCCATCTAGTTGGGGTCATGTAGATTTGACTAGGGCTTCTCTCCTGTCTCTAGGTTAAGGCAGTTATCCCTTCATGGGGGATATGTTTGCAAGGTCCTTTTGTGCACCATGGATACATCCTGGCTCCACTATCTGAGGTCCCTTAGACTGCTCAGTCCTTCTGGCTGAGACCCATATTCAGGGGGGCCTGAATCAGTCCCATGCTGGCTTCCCAGTTATCAGTCTGGGGGCCTTTTAGCTCCTCCTTGTTCAGGTCAGCTGTCTCTATGTGTTTCTGCAGCCTGGTCTTGTCCTCTCCATCTGCATCTGGGTTCTAGTTCAATTCAGTGTTTAGGTATGGGTGTTTGCTTCACCACCACCAACAGGTACTAGATGGGTAAGTTAGTTGTTGATCTCACTATCTAGGAAGGGCATTTATGGTAGCCTTTCCACAGATGCTCAAAATGTTAGTTGGAGGCAGTCTTGTAGGTCTCTAGACCTTTCTTTGTGTTCAATTTTCTCTTCAAACCAATATTAGCTCCCTCTTTTATTCTCTCTCTCTCTCTCTCTCTCTCTCTCTCTCTCTCTCTCTCTCTCTCTCTCTGTCTGTCCTGTCGTCTATTCCTACCCGAACTCAATCACTCAATCTTCCTAGTCGCATGTGTTTTCCTTTCCTCCCCCTCTCCTTCTCTCTCCATTCACTGCCCCCCCCACTTCCCCTGTGCTCTGGGGGATTTGTCCCTTCCCCCATTCTGTAAGGGGCTTTATATGAATCTCTTAGAATAACCTTGTATCCTAGTTCCTCTGGTGGTGTGAATTATAGGCTGGTGATCCTTTGCTCTAGGTCTAAAATCCATATGAGTGAGTACATACTATATTCCTCTTTTTGCGACTGGGTTGCCTCATTCAGGATGGTTTCTTCAAGTGCCATCCACTTGCCTGCGAATTTCAATATACCATTATTTTTTTCTGCAGAGTAGTATTCCATTATGTAGATGTGCCACATCTTCATTAACCATTCTTCAATTGAGGGGCATCTAGATTGCTTTCAGGTTCTTGCTATTACAGATAGTGCTGCTATGAACATAGTTGAGCAGATGTCTTTGTTGCATGGATGTGGATCATTTGGGTATATGCCTAAGAGGGGGATTGCTGGGTCCTGTGGTAAACTAATTCCCATTTTCCTGAGGAACCGCCATACTGATCTCCAAAATGGCTGTACGAGTTTGCACTCCCACCAGCAGTGGAGGAGTGTTCCCCTTTCTCCACATCCTCTCCAGCATGAGTTGTCATTGGTATTTCTAATTTTAGCCATTCTGGCAGGAGTAAGATGGTATCTCAAAGTTGTTTTGATTTGCATTTCCCTGATAGCTAAGGACATTGAGCACTTTCTTAAGTGTCTTTCAGCCTTTTTGATTTCCTCTATTGAGAATTCTTTCTTCAGTTCTGTACCCCATTTTTTAATAGGGTTATTTGGTGTTTTGGTTACTAGTTTCTTGAGTTCTTTGTATATTTTGGAGATCACCCTTTCGTTGGATATAGGATTGGTGAAGATCTTTTCCCAGTCTGTGGGCTGCCATTTGGTCTTGTCCACTGTGTCCTTTGCCTTACAGAAGCTTCTAAGTTTGAAGAGGTCCCATTTATTAATTTTTGTTCTCAGTGTCTGTGCCTCTAGAGTTATGTTCAGGAAGTGGTCTCCTATACCAATTTGTTCAAGGGTACCTCCTACTTTCTCTTCTAAGAGGTTCAATGTGGCTGGATTGATGTTGAGGTCTTTGATCCATTTGGACTTGAGTTTTGTGCATGGCGACAGACATGGGTCTATCTGCAGTCTTCTACACACCCTCATCCAATTGTGCCAGCACCATTTGTTGAAGAAGCTGTCCTTGCCCATTGTATAATTTTGGCTGTTTTGTCGAAAATCAGGTGTTCATAGGTGTGTGGGTTAATATAAGGATTTTCAATTCGATTCCATTGGTCTACCTGTCTATTTTTGTGCCAATACCAGGCTGTTTTCAGAACTATAGCTCTGTAGTAGTGCTTAAAGTCAGGAATGGTGATGCCTCCTGAAGTTCTTTTATTGGATAGGGTTGTTTTGGCTATCCTGGCAAATGGAACCAAGAAGCAAGCAGGCGTGGCTATCCTAATATCTAACAAGTTAGACTTCAAACTAAAATTAATCAAGAGAGATGAAGACAGTCATTTCGTATTCATCACAGGAGAAGTCCATCAACACAAAGTCTCAGTTCTGAACATCTATGTCCCAAATATAAAGGCACCCATATTCGTAAAAGAAATGCTACTAAAACTCAAAGCTCATATAAAACCTCACACACTTATAGTGGGAGACTTCAACACACCACTCTCAACACTAGACAGGACCACCAATCAGAAACTCAACAAAGAAACAAAAGAACTAACAGAAGTTATGTCTCAACTGGGTTTAACAGACATCTATAGAATATTCCATCCAAACACAAAAGAATATACCTTCTTCTCTGCTCCACATGGAACCTTCTCTAAAATCGACCACATACTAGGTGGCATAACAAACCTCAACAGATACAAGAGAATTGGAATAGTCCCCTGTATCTTATCAGACCACCATGCTTTAAAATTGGAATTCAACAACAACACAAATAGCAGAAAACCTGCAAACTCATGGAAACTGAACAATGTGCAATTGTACCACACCTGGGTCAAAGAAGAAATAAAGAAAGAAATTCAGGATTTTCTAATATTCAACGAGAATGAGGACACAACCTACCCAAACTTATGGGACACCTTGAAAGCAGTGCTACGAGGGAAGTTCATTGCACTAAGTGCCCATATGAAGAAAACAGAGGATAGTCACATAAGAGAATTAACAGCGCAACTGAAAGCCATAGAACAGAGAGAAGCAAACTCACCCCGTAGGAGTAGATGCCAGGAAATAATTAACTTGAGGTCTGAAATCAACAAAACAGAAACCAGGAAAACAATACAAAAAAATCAATGCAACAAAGAGTTGGTTTTTTGAGAAAATCAACAAGATAGACAAACCTTTATCCAAACTAACAAAAAAGCAGAGAGAGAACATGCAAATTAACAAAATCAGAAACGAAAAGGGGAACAAAACAACAGACACAGAGGAAATCCAGACAATTTTCAGGTCATAAAACTTGTATTCCACAAAAATTGAAAATTCAAAGGAAATGGACAAATTTCTGGATAACTATCACTTACCAAAATTAAATCAAGAACAGATAACTTAAATAGACCTATAACCCACAATGAAATAGAAGCAGTCATCGAAAGCCTCCCAACAAAAAAAGTCCAGGGCCAGGTGGATTCGGTGCAGAATTCTACCAGACATTCAAGGAAGAACTAATACCAGTACTCCTCAAATTGTTCCACAAAATAGAAACAGAAGGTTCATTGTCAAACTCTTTTTATGAGGCCACAATAATCTTGGTATCCAAGTCTCACAAAGATACAACTAAGAAAGAAAACTATAGACCAATATCCCTGATGAACATTGATGCAAAAATACTCAATAAAATACTGGCATTCAAGAATACATCAGAGAAATCATCCACCATGACTAAGTAAGCTTCATCCCTGGATTGCAGGGATGGTTTAACATACGAAAATCTATCAATGTGATCCACCATATAAACAAATTGAAAAAGAAAAACCATATGATTATCTCCCTAGATGCTGAAAAAGCCTTCGACAGAATTCAACACCCTTTCATGATAAAGGTCTTGGAGAGATCAGGGATAGCAGGAACATACCTAAACATAGTAAGAGCAATATACAGCAAACCAACAGCCAACATCAAACTGAATGGAGAGAAGCTTAAGCCGATTCCTCTAAAATCAGGAACAAGACAAAGCTGCCCTCTCTCTCCATATCTCTTCAATATCATACTAGAAGTTCTAGCTAAAGCTATAAGACAACAAAAGGAGATCAAGGGAAAGGAAGAAGTCAAACTGTCTCTATTTGCACATGATATGATAGTTTACATAAGCGACCCAATAAACTCTACCAGGGAACTCCTACAGCTGATAAACACCTTCAGCAAACTAGCAGGATACAAGATAAACTCAAAAAAATCAGTAGCCCTACTTTTTTTCAGACGACAAAGAGGCAGAGAAAGAAATCAGAGAAACAACACCCTTTACAATAGCCACAAGCAACATAAAGTATCTTGGGGTAATGCTTACCAAACAAGTAAAAGAACTATATAATAAGAACTTTGTGGTGCTAAAGAAAGAAATTAAAGAAGATAACAAAAAATGGAAAGATCTCCCATGCTCTTGGATAGGTAGGATAAACATAGTAAAAAATGGCAATCTTGCCAAAAGCAATCTACAGATTCAATGCAATCCCCATTAAAATCCCACCACAATTCTTCACTGACCTTGAAAGGATAATATTCAACTTTATATGGAAAAAAAAAGACCCAGGATAGCCAAAGCAAAACTGAAATCTCTTAATACATTTTAAACTAGAGTCTCCCATTTTGCACTGAGCCTTGAAATTTTTGAGTCTTAGGTGGCATCCTATTTGATGGTTACTGTTGTTACAGAAGTGCATGGTGAAAGATTTCCAGCTGAAAATTGTGAAGGGAAGAAGACAGGTCTAAGGATAATAAAGCATGTGCTTACTTCTAGAAATGTGTAGTATAATTGCTTTGTGAGGCAATTTATTTTGAGTCTATGATTTGCCAGTTACACAATTCTACCATTGTTCAGTTACACTGAAAGTACAGAGGGTATAGAAGTGGGCTTGTCTGATTTGGCAGACATTTGTGTTAAAAGGGGAAGGGATAAGAAATTAATCATTCTGGTGGATAGTGACTGGTTAGATAACCCACAAAGAAGAATAAAGAAGGCTAATGGTAAAGATACAATATCAGGATCAGTGAACTAAAGATTTTAATAAAGGAGGCATGCTGTCTCATGAAGGCACTTAAACAAGAATTAGGAAGCTATCTGAATTGATGATTCTGTAGTTTCTATTGAAGGTGAGGGCTAGGATTTGATGGTGACATGACTTAACAGCATGAGGGAAAAGGCAACATAGAACTGAAGGAACTGAGGACAGCTGTGTATGTCATCTACCTGATTGATGGAACTACTTAGAATGATGGCAAGATTGGAAAAGAAATGTTTTCAAGGACTAAAATCTTCAGAGAAAAAGAAGTCAGTTGGGGCCATTGCATGCTTTGCTCTTGACTCTATCCTTTCATTTACGCTATACCTTTCCACTTCCTTCCCTCTACTCTGCCATCCTCTTCATATCCCCACCCCAACTTAAAATCCTTAGAATTATATCACCCCAATCTAATTTTATGTGAAATTCAAATTTCACCTCCTTACTTATGTTTGGCATGCTTATATTTTAAGTACTATAATATTATAAATACATTATGAAACCATGAGACAAGCTCATAACTGAAGTCACACTGAACCATGTATAATATTCAGTATAGGAATTAGTTAACAAAACAACATACTTGTGATAGTTAACATTTACTGTTATTAAGAGGGTTTTCTTTTTTAGGGGATGTAGTTTCTTAAATACAGATTATTGTATAATAAAGACAGTAATAAATATATTTAATAATTTCTTAGTATAATTTTAGGTGTTGGCAAACAGAGCCTATAATTTGTTTTTTTGCAAAACATTATTTAGGTTGCTAACTCCTTTTTACCCAAATCATCACTCCCACTAGACAAATGCTCTACCACTGACCGATCTACATCTCCGGCCTTGTAAAACATGTGAGAGTTGATACCTTAAATGTGCTAGAGCTGAGTATTTCAACCTTTTTTGTCTTTCAACAGATTTTTCTCTTAAATATATGAAACACATCGTTTTTTAGGCATATGTCAGGCTTTGTGTTGTTATGTTTTATAGTGCTGGAGATATATATCTATCCTTAGCCTCAGAAAGTATTCTTTTTTCCTAGAAAATCAATTATCTTCACATTTGAACCTTTTTTCAACTTGAGAAGGACAAGAGTTGTTTTATAGCATTGTGAATTATATTTTGTATCGTGAATGTGTTTCAGCCTGAAAAAGAATCTGAAGATAGAGGTCCACAAGTTCAAACAAAGTTAAGCTCTGGCCATCTAGACAGCAAGACTCCATTCCCCTATCATAGTTCAGCTCTTGAAAGTCTGGCAGTCAGGGATGCTCTGCTGCCTCAATCCCCGGAACCTATGTCAGTAAGTAGCCCGTATTTTGTTAATTCATAATTCTTAGAAAGACTATAAAATATACTGATTGGTAAGGCTTAGAAATGCACAATTTCCTAACAAATATAGAGAAAATAGAGGGCAGATAAATTCTATAGCTGCATGCAAGTTAATACTTGTTAAAGTAAACTGCATGTTAACAGCTGTGTCACTGGGACCTCTGCAAAGAAGATTCTGAGATGTAATTAAGAGTTCAAGTGGCTTATTGGAACAGACAATACCTGAAGGAAAAAATAAGAGGGACTGGACAGTGACTGCCTGGATCCAGTGGGGAATTCTGAAGCAAAGGGTATGCAGCACCCAAGTCTATATTATGCTGTCTGCTCAGGATTTGGCTGGAGGCTGAGGTGATAGCTTCAGCTTGACAGCTGATGCAGATCCTAAAATTATTACAGCTGGGTTATTGCTAATTACACCCCTTGCAGTGTACCAGCAGGTTCTTTGTTCAAGGAAATCTGAGCAGAGACCCCTGAGGTTGCCTCAATGATGGTAGAGCTAGCTCACCAGAAGACTGTCTTCTCTCCAGAATCCACAGGTTCTCTCTGCATGTGCTCTTTTTAATCCTTGCTCACCAATCCTAAAGTTAGACGATCCTCATTGTTTATATAAAGAAATTAAAAGTATATAGTTAACATATTCCATACCAAGAATATAATTGTTTTTAATAATAATTTTCTTAATAATCCATTTCAGATTAGTCTATTCCAGCTGGTTTAAATAGATCAAATCAGAAGAAAAATAGAGTGAAAGAAAAGTAAAAGTAGAATAAAACTAACATAAGCTTAACTATGATTCTCAGTTTGTCTCAGAGTTTGGGTTCCAGATCCAAACTTAGATTTCCACAATAGTCACAAACTCAAGAAGAGACACTTACCAGGAAGGTATAATGGGCTTATGGAGACCAGGATTTAGAAAGGCAGCTGACTGCTGGAAATAAAGCTACTCACCTCTGTTTTTGTGCCTGTGTGTCACTCAGTTTTGTTTTTCCACCTGTTTCTTTTTTGTTGCCTATGTTTGTCTTTCTCAGTGTCCTGCTGTCTCTCTCTGATTCCTGCCTATGACTCCATGCCACACACTGTCCCGCTCTGTGCCTCTGCCCCTTTATCTCTTTCTGTCCACTTCTGATGTCTTTTCTCTCTCTTCTCCCTCCTCTCAATCTCTCCTCTTTTTTCTCCTGCTCTCTTCAAGCATCCCTCTTTTTCTGCATCTTTATCTCTTACATTTTCCTTTTCATTTCTTCCCTACTTTCCATTCCCACTTTGTTTATGTGAGTCTTCCCATTAAAAAGTACAGTGTTATTCCAGGAACTAAATAAATCCTGAAAATAATTTTAAGACAGTTAAAAGGGGTAATCAAAATTTATTACTTATTACTCTAGCTTCTCTTCCTAAATTAATAGTAATTTCAACCTCAGAATTCTTATGTAGTTGTTATGCCAGATACAGTTCTATTCAGAGTTGTTTGGCTTAGATCAATCCAGAAAATTCTTCAGTTTCTTATCAGGTGGTTTAAAATGTAATTAACAGAATGAGGATTTTATTACTATTACACATGGTCTAGTCTACTAACTGAACTGCTATTTTTAAAATATTTTCTTTCTAATAACTAATCTATTTTTTAAATATTTATAGAAAAAAAGTTCTACTCCTCCTGATAAGCGAAGCAAAGCCCTGTTTACAAGTACACCATCTTCAGACACAGCTGACTTTGTGGTAAGTACCAGCATTTGGCCCTTATGGAATCTTTTTCCTTACTTCTCCTCTCCCCATTCATCTGTTTGTATCGTACCAGAGGCAGTTGTCCATAAACAGCAATACCTGTACTTTTCTTCTAGACACACACACACACACACACACACACACACTTTCACTGGAAATACTCTATAGGTAAGGAAGAATAGTACAACACCAACCAGTGTTTGTTTGGGAATTTTGTTTAAAGATTTTATTTTTAAGTATATGAATGTGTCTGTGTATGGGTACGGGCATCTGAGAGTGAGGCCCAAAGAGAGCATCAGATCCCCTGGATCTGGAGTTACAGGTGTTTGTAAACCTCCTGACATGTGTGCTGGGAACTAAACTCAGGTACTCAGTAAGAGCAGTACACATTCTTAATGACTGAACCATCGCTAGCCCCAAACTTGCCAGGTCACAAATTCTCCTCTCCAACTCCTTCCTTCTTGTCCCCCTCCCTACCCTGGCTGGCCCAGAACTCCTTTTGTAGACTAGGCTGCCCTTGAATTCATAGAGATCAACCCAACTCTGACTTTGGAGTGCTGGGATCAAAGTCATGTGATTTTATGACCAGCCTTTTCTGTATATGTAACAAAAAAAAATTAGAATTTTAACCTTACTTAGCTGTGCATTGGACATTTTTGTATAGTGATCATCACCATCTAGTTCTAGAATTCTTTTTCATCGTGTAAAACTGAAACTCCATACCTATTAAATAGTAACTCCATAGTGAACCCTCCCCAACACTGGCAATCACCTTTCTACTTTCTCTCTCTGAATTTGACTACATGAAGTGCCTTGTATAGTTAATATCACACATTATTTAACCTTTATTTTTTGAGGCAGGGTCTGACTTATCCTGGAATCAGTTGGCTCTTCTGCCTTAGCTTCCTCAAGTAGCTGGAACTATGAGTATATTTCACCATGCCCAGCAATATTCCTCCTCTTATGACTAATATAATTCACAAATATTGTGCCTCCAAGTTAATGTGATAGCATGTGTCAGAAATTACTTCCAGGGCTAGAGAGATGGTTCCATGGCTATGATCACTGACTGCTCTTCCACAGGACAGGAGTTTGATTCCCAACACACCCTTGGTGGCTCACAACCCTCTATAACTCCAGTTTCAGGAGATTCAACTCCCTCTTCTGGCCTCTGTGGGTACTACATACACATGATGCACAGCTTATATAGCCAAAACACTCATATACATGAAATAAAATAATTTAAAAACACACAACCCGAGTTCTATCCTCAGGACTCATACGGTGAAAGGTGAAAACAAACTACTGAAAGATGTTCTTGGATTTTCATGTAAGTGCAGAGGCATGTACACTCACAATACAACACACACACACACACTTTACATCTTAGATATGAAAACATTCTGTTATATGATTGTATTTTATTTATGTGCCTGTCAGTCACTGGACATTTGGGTTACTTCTCCCTTGGTTGTTATGAACACTGGTGCTAAAAGCATATGTACAGTATAAGTTCCCTACATTCCATTCCTCTGAGCATATACCCCAGAAGCAGAGTTTCTGGGTGTTATGATAATGGCACTTTAAGTTTCTAGAAAGTTCTTTCCATAAGGCTTGCATCATATCACAATCTTACTAGCAACGCACAGGGTTCCAATCCCTGTACATCCTTGCCAGTATTTTTGATTTTGTATTCTGTTTGGCTTTAATGAGCAAATCATTTCCACATTGATTTATCCACAGTTAAATATGTTTTGAAGAATTATTTCCAAATGTAATTAATTATGTTTATTCAAATGAAGTTTTACATGAAATACACAAGAATATGCTTTAGTAAGATAGTGTTTTCAATATTGGTTTAATTATCTAAAGCGAATTGTTCTTGAAACTTTAAAAGGAGTTATATTGTTGTACAGATTGATTTATCTCCAGTGCAAAATGTATCTTTTGAAGAACTATTTCCAAATGTCAGCAATTATGTTAACTCAAGTGAAGTTGTCCCTGTGTCAAGTTGGCAAGAAAGTTCTTCAAATGAGGTAACATTTTCAAGCTTTTCCTCAATTGCTGAAAGAACAGTTCCACTGGTGTTTCTTGAGACCAGCATCTTCTGTGTGTAAAGAAGACTCTGATGTTAGATATATGAGCTGCAAGTGCTTTTTCCACTTTTATGAGCTAACTTTATTCTGTGTATTGGATCTTTTGAAGCACAACATTTGGAATTTTTATTGTTTAAGTTGTCTAATTTTTCTTCTGTGGCCTACATCTTTGATGTCATATAAAAAGTCATGATCAATCAAATGTCAGGAAGCTTCTAAAGATGTTTTATTTAAAAAGGTGTAAAATCTACTTTGACTTAATTGTTGTGTGTGCATCTGATTCCACTTTCACCTGTAAGTACTCACTTTTAACAGTGTCATGTCCTAATTTTATTATCAGAGAATTGTATTTTGTACAAAGAATAGTTAAGTATAATAATTCTAGATTATAAACAGTTTATTTTGTTTTCTTTCATTTTTGTGACTAGAGCTTATTATGTAGTTCAGGCTAGACTCAGATTCAGTCTTAACCTCAAACTCTTGTTGTACTTCCCAAATACTTGGATTACAGACACAAAGCATCATGCCCAAGCAAGGCAAAAACATTTTACTCCCAGAGCTCAGTGATTTCTTATTGTTTTTCACAAGTTTCTTACACACACATGCATGCACACACATGCATACACACACACACACACACACACACACACACACACACAATCCAAAATGGAACAGGGTAGGATGACTTATTGACTCATAAATGGGAAGGGAATGACTGAATTCAGAAATTGAATAGCATTTTGTTAAAAATTCCTGTTGAATCTTCTAGATGCTTCTATGATTGTTTTTATTCATGTATTTGTTATTTGGATATGTATGTGTGGTGTATGCATGTGTGTTCTCATGTCATGGGCACAAGTGTGTGTAGGTGTGTGTGTGTGTAGTTCTGAGATTGACATCAAGTGCCTTTTCCAGTTCCTTCCCACTTTATGTATTGAGTCCTGATCTCTTTCTGAACCCAGAACTCCTGAATCTGGCTAGCCAGCTTGCTCAGGGAATTCTCTCTTTCTGCCCTTCTGGTTCTGTAATGACATCAGGCCATCATACTTGCCTGACATTTACATGGGTGCTAGGCATCCAAACTCCAGTCCTCACACTTGTTTTTAACCCTGCTTGTCTTTATTGCCCCTTCCCCCTTGTGCTTCTGTTATAAATAGGCTTTCACCATCTTTTCTGGTTTTCCATAGCCCAAGTAGAAGGAGAAAGGCTTGTTTTTATGTATACATATATTTCAGTATTGGCTAAAGACTCATGTTAGCTTTGCTCAATTTGCATGTCTGCCCTGGTCCATCTGTCATTGCCAGAGAAATGAAAACTTGCAATTGTCTAAGCCTGGGTTTCCTGCCCACTCCTGTTGTCATAGAACAAGTTTTACCACTAAAAGGAAGGTACAAAACTTGCTGAGCTAACAGAACAAATTGCCATTCTCCATTACAACTCTTTTCACAGTATTATATATTGAACAGAGAAATTGTAATCACCCCAAATTTCATTCCTTTTCAGATAACTTAATTTTTCAGCCTGTCATTTGTAGGCAGAAGATTTTCTTAATCCTAGCACTTGGAAGGACGCTGTAGAGGATCTCAAGGCCAGGATGGACTATATAGGGAAACTTTGCTTCAGAAAAGGAAGCCCTCTTTTTGAGGACATGTTGGAGCATAATGCTTTTTTTTTTTTTTAATTTTAAAAGTAGAGTGGAAAACTTTAGAAATACGTTGAGTCAAATATCTTTTATCTTACAGAATCCCTTTTTAGTTCAAATATTTTGTGTTAGAGCTCTGATTATTGCTTAATTATTCTTTGATAATATAATTTTTTAACATTTTGGGTGGTTTTTTATCGGTTTTTCTTTTCTCTCATTGTTTATAACCATTGGTCTTTCCTACTGTATTTTGGGAGTGCTTCCCTATTATTTTCTTTAAAAAGCTAGAAATAAAAACATTTTGTAGCAGGTTCTGGTAGCAGCTCTATATACTGAAGTTGCCTAGAACTCCTTCTGGAAAAGCACTGAGACTTAGGAAAGGTTTCATCTGTACAAGTATTTGGTTCTGACAAAGAACAGTGCACTGACTGGTCTGTCCACATGGATGTCTGTCCTGTCAGTAAAGTTCATACTATTAAGCAGATAGTTCAAATATAGTCCTTTTCTGTGTCTGCCCTAGAGACAGATGCTGAGTAAAATGGAACCTGAGCAACTTTTTTCTTCAGGGATTCTCTTTCTTAAGGAGGAAAGTACAATGTTTGATCTCACAAGTACTTGTATTAGTGGAGTTTCTCCCCTGTTCATGGCATATAGAAAACTGTGATCACTTCTCCCGGTGGTTTTTTACCCCACCCCCTGAGTAGTAACTTGTTGAAGTGGCTGTGACAAATACTACAAAGTAGGTGGTTTCTTAAAGTAAGAGAAAATATTCTATCACAGTTCTAAAATCAGGATGCTAGCTCCTCCACATCCACTGGAGGTGAATCTTTCTTCTGTCAGGCTACACCCCAGCATTTTATGCCTGGGACAGCATAAGTCTGGTCTCTGCCAATTCTCATATAATTCCCTTCCCTCTTTGTGTATCTCTGTTCCTTCATACATTTTCCCTGTGTGTCAGGGTCCACATTTGCTGTTCTTATAAGGACACAGGTTATATTGAACTAAGGCCTGTTCTAACTTGATGAAAGCTGTGGTGACCACATTATCAAATGAAGTCACCTTCACAGTCACTGATGTCTTCTTGAGAAGGATATTGCTGTGCCCATGATATTTGTTTTCCTATCTAATCAACCCTATACTCACTGTTAACCATTTGCTCAATATTTTAGATCTGAAGATCCATCAATTTTTAGCTCACTGAATAAAGTTTCTGATGGAATCTTCTGACTTGGGCTTTCTATGCCTGCACATAGTTGTCAGTCATCCTGAGATTTGCCTGAACCATAATTCTGGGTATTCACTTCACAAGTCCACACATACTCCCCAGCTGCTAGTACTCACTCTCTCTCCTTCCCTCTCTCCCTCCCTCCCTCCCTTCCTCCCTCATTCCCTCCCTCTGTTTAGAGAAGTGAATCCTCCACAGCCTCTTATGAAAGGGAGTATGGGATTATTTAGGATCATTCATGACAGAACAGGTTTTAATTCTATCCTCATAGTTAAGGATTCACCTAATCTAGTTAGAGAATTTGTAGTACAAATACTTTTCTTCAACATTAACTTATCAGAGTTCTAGCTTCCCATGTTGTTTTATGAAACCATATTGATTTTTTTTCTGTTTCAGAAGCTGGGAAAAATCTTGTCTTTGGATCCTGTGTTGTGAAATTTCTTGCCATGCCTCACTCTTTTTTCATGTACTATATCAGAATGTCATGGATTCTATTTATGTGTGCATGCATGTATGGATCTGTGTATATGTGTAAAGATGCCATGGCCCACATGTGGAGGATAACCCTAGGTGTTGGTCTTCACCTTCCACCTTGTTTACGAAGCCTCTAAAATTCCTTGTACCCAGAGACAAGAGACTCCCCAGAAGTTCATGCACTAGATAACCTGTCATACATAGCATTAAACAACAAGCAGTCCTCCTTCTCTCCCCACTCCATCCCCCACTCTTTACATGAACCTGTGCACATGTGTGTGCATGCAAGTGCATGTGCGCGCGCACACACATACTTTCTCTGTTAATGACTCATATGTAGTCATAGTTAAAAATGAACATGTGGTATGGTAATTAAACAATCTCAATTTTAAGAAGTACTTGACAACTGTGAAATCACCTTTCAGGCTAATAACACCAGACCTTTGGACAGCTAAGAACAGAATCTTTTAGTTTCTTATCTGGAGGACAAAGGCTCCTTGGGCTTGGAATCTCAGCATCTGCTCACTTTGTTCACTTCATTCTGATGTTTTCAGCATAGAACCTCTACCCTGAATGGTCAGAAACCTTCCAAGGAGAAAAAGATTGGCTATCCCCTTTCCTTAGGAAAATTCTCTGTCCAGTGTCTGAGATGGGAGGAGGCTGTTGAAAGAAGTAAGAGAGCCGAATTATGTATAAAGTCACTTTCATACAAAAGATAATATGCAATATTTAAATAAGAAGCAAGCAACACTTTTGTTACCCTCATTTAGACAATAAAACAGGACACTATAAATACCTGCTCCAAAGTGTTTCAGATCCATGATTCAACTCATTCTCTCAATGAGCATCTATTTTCCTGGTGCTTGTTTCATTCTGCAGCAATTTGAATGGAAATGGCCCCCATAGGGCCACTAGGAAGGAATAGGAGGTATGTGGTTTTGTTGGAGATGTTGCTGGTGACAGGCTTCAAGGTTTTGAAAGGCACGTACCATGCCCATTGCTTTCTCTGTTGCCTGCTGTGATTTGAGATGTGTACCTCCAGCTTTTCCTGTTGCCATTCTTCACTTCACCATCATGGACTCTAAGCCTCTGGAACCATAAGCCAAATTAAAATCCTTTCTTTGTAAAAGTTGCCTTTGTCATTGTGTTTTCTCACACTAGGAAAAGAACTAAGATAATTCATTGTCTTTTTTTATTTTTCAAAACTAACATCATTATTGAACCATCCCTTAGACATGGTGCATATCCCTGTTATTTGAATGCTCCTTATTGTTTTCCAATATGTTTCTATCATTCTAACCAAGAATACTGAGCCTATTTTTATTTTAAATAAGACTGCATTGAATGTAGTACCTAGAGGAATTAGGCAATAACTACTCTTTTCCTTTTCAGTTTCCTTCATATGCATCAGAGATATGCTGTATTATTCGGGCATCACCAGGAACTAGACAGATGAGAAGTAAAGATATTGCTGTGAAGAAAATGTATTCTCCTCCTAAAGATGTTCCTCCAGGTATGAGCTCAGCATGGCTTTCACAATAAATACTTTATGCATACAGTAAATTCATTTATAACTTGTATTCTCAGTTTTTACATAAAATTGAAAAGATAAAATTACAAAAGCCTCAACAAATGTCATAAAGTTGAATAAGATAACTTTTTGAAAGCTTATGACATTGACTTAGATGTATTTCCCTAAGATGCTTCTTTTTCAACAATTTGAAATTTGTTACTGTTTGAATTTTATTTTAGTTGTATTCTTTTTAACATTGGAGAATTTTTTTCATTCACCTGGTATTGGTTGAGTACTTCTATGTGAGATACTGTTCTAAGGATCTTAACATCTCAGTTCCTCACCATTATTACAGTAGATAAAATGGGTATTGTTATTCCACTTTTACTCATGTAAAGAGTAGGAGATTTTAAATGGTAGACATTACCAAGTGATTGTGGCAAATTCAATCATTCGAGGCTTCTAAAATAAAAATAAGCATCTTCTCTAATTGTGTAGTAGAGCTGAGGAACCTCTCATGAGTGAGGGACCAATGAAACAACTACAGTTTAATAGATTATGTATATACCCATGCACGCTGTTCACTTTGACCTTTGTCCTCATTTTTCCCAGTGGCTTCTCCAAGCACTCTTCAAGTTCATAAAATTTCTCTTTTTAAATAACTTCCTGATTGCCTGAGCAATGCTACTCATTTTATACCTAATAGTTATATCATTGAGGGTTGTCCAGGGTAACAGAACAAGTATCAGTAGATATCTGAATCTGTTTAGTACTTCTGGGAGAGGTTCTTTTTAGAAAGTGTGGTGAAGGAGAGATAAATAACCTTTCCCAGTGTTTCTTGTGATCAAATATATAAATACATATGTGATAGATAGATAGATAGATAGATAGATAGATAGATAGGAGAAATAGATGGGGTATTTTATGTAAGAGGAGACTTAACACAGGAATTGGTCACATGATCACATGATTATGGAAGTTTCAAACTTCTAAGGCATGCTGTCCACCTTCCAGAGAACCAGAGGTGCCAGTAGCATAGTTAGGTCAAAATCCAAAGGTTTGAAAACAAGGGATACTGATGGTATAACTCTCAGCCAGGAAGAACAATGAGCACTAACCATGAATGCTCAAAGCTAGTATGTCCTGAAATTTCTTCTACTGAGCAAATGAGTCCATTAGTTTTTAATTCAGCTTCACTCAGGTTTTCAGGACATAGACAAAATATAGCCAGATTTCTTTTTGTCAGAATGTAATACAAATTACCTGTAACCTAGTTCCAAATAAAGCTGGTTACCTTCTGAATTGCTGTGAGCTGGATTGGTACTGTCTGAACTTCTTTCCACATTCTCTGGAGTTTTCTAAAAATCCACTAGAATGGCCACTCAATCTCTGCTTCTATTTTCTGGGGCTTCTTTAACCCACAGCTCCAGATTCCTCTACAGCCCTCCCACAAAACAGTCCCAAATGCCTCAATGGAGACCTCACCCTGATCCCAACTTTTCTGTATGAATTACTTTTTTAGTTGTGACCAGATAACTGACAAAAAAGCAACTCAAAGGGGGAAGAGTTTATTTTGGTTCAAGGTTTAAGAAATTTAGTCAATCATGGCTGAGAAAGCATGGTGGCAAGAGCATGAGACAGGTAGTCATGCTGTGTTTGATGTGAGGTTGCAGAGAGTGGACAGGATGTAATCCTGAGCTATAAAGTCTCAAGGCCAGCCTGCCACCACCCAGTTCTTCCATGAAAGTTCCATTTCCTATAGGTTTTCCAACTTTTCAAAATAGTATCACCAGCTGGGGAGCAAGCATTGAAATACAGGAGCCCATAAGGGACATTTTACATCTAAACCATAACACCATGACACCACTATCACTCTGTAAAATAGTCCATAAATATTTTCATATGTAGCAGCTTTGGTAGAAGTGCTGTATGTAAAAAAGGCACATCTGTCCACATCCACAGTGTTCACCCTGTAAGGAGAAAATCCTGCCATTTACATGATAAAAGTTTTTTTAGTGTAATCAACCTGCTGCCACATGGCTGACTGAGCATCTCAAGATGTACTACTATAACAGTGCCAGCTAGGTCCGTGTTGATGAGCCTGTGTTCGCTGCTCATTCATGTACAGAGACAGAGAGGATACTAATCAGCTTCCTTCCTCTTTCTCCAATCTTGTTCTGATACAGCTTGCCAGAGAAAGAGACTGACTGGTATCCACAGCATTGATTATCTTACCCACTTGATTATTAAGGCTCCTCCTCTAGTGAGGTCACCCTTTGGTGTATATTTGTATGTCATTTAAATATCTCCATGGTTTCTGCCCATTTATATAATGCCTCTTCTCAGATTTTCTTTTCATCTATTTTTCTAATTGCATTCCTTCCAAGTCTCAACAATTCATCTGTTACAACCTATGAATTAGTATAATCCAACATGTGGTCATTCCTTCTTCCTGCAAAGAAAACAACCAGGTATACTACTTAATATCTTGCTTATGGGGAAGAAGATTTCTCTTACTGTTTTTTTTCTGAGGTATATAAGACAAGCTGATCAATCTGTAAACCAAATATGATCTTTCTTTTTTTTCTGGTCAACTGTAGTACACTCCCATGACCTCTTAAGTGTAGACCAGATGAGAGAAGATAAAGTAGTTAAAGTTGAGGCTGTGGCACTTGGATCAGTTCTTCATGTGACCTACTTGTGTCTTGAGTGCATGCTTGAGTGCAGTCTTACATATATCAGTTTCATTTGGCAATGAAGACCTGATCTTCTCTACATAGCTCAGTAACACAGTGTCCCAGTGTTAGGGCCCATTTACTGGCCAAATGCTATTCTTCAGTGTTTATGTATTTATCCACCAAGGATAGTTAACTTGCCTTTGAAATTCTAAGGGTCATACTGTTCAACTCTGAGGTGCTACCAAAAGATCCGGACAGCATCTCTATCTGTCAGGGACACTTAAAGCACCACTTATTCTACTGGACCATGTAGTGCAAGTGGTAGAGCATCTTGTAGCATAGCCTGGATGTTGTGGAACCTTCTCTTGTTCTGGGTCTCTTGTTATTTCTAGTGATTATTTTAGGTCACTTGGTAAATGGGCTAGAGTATCACACACAAATAAGATGATGTTGACAGCAAAATCCATAATGGCCCATGAAGGAGTGAACCTTTTCCAGTTTCAGGAGGGCCTAGATATAACTGTGCCTTACTTTAGGAGTCACTGTTCACAGAACAGGATCCCAGGAGTCTTGAAATAGAAAACCCCTTGCAACCCAACAGTTCCACCTCTAGGAATATGCTCAGTAATGATGTATATGTATGTTCATCCAAAGATATAGACTAGAGCCAGGTATAGTGATACACATATTTAACTCCAGCATTTGGGAAACAGAAGCAGGTGGGTGGATCTCTGTGCATTTGAGGACAACATGCTCTATGTAGCAAGTTTCAAGATAACTAGGGTAACATGATTTGTCTTTCAAAAAAAAGATATATACTAGAATATTCATTGGTTATGATAGTTCCAAACCAGAATCTATCCAGATGCACATGAATTCAAATAGGTAAGTAATCTGTAGTATATACTTTCAAGTGCTACATAGTAATAATCAAACAATATATAGTTAAATGAAATATATATATATACACACATATATATATATATTTAAATGGTGGGTCATACTAATAAACTTCACATTAAGAAATTAGATACTCTTGAGGAGTATATTTACTATTTTTATATGTGTGCAGCATAAACCAGGTAAACTAAACTCTAAAGGAATTGTGAGTGAATGCCCTCATTTGAGTGAAGGTATTTTCTAAAGAAGTTGTTATTGGTCATTCTACTGTGCTAGTTACACTAGTATGTTATATTTATGAAAAACCCCAAACCGTACTTTTTGTTTATATGTATGTTAATAAAAACTTTATTAATAAAAAATGGGAAAACTATTGATATTTTACGTCTGTCATATTAGTTTATGGCATCAGATACTGTCAAAATTTGGGGATTAAGTAGCAATTCCAAATCAAATGGGCCTGAGGGATTCAATTGTTCACAGTTGGAAGTTTAATTTAGAGACCCCCTTGATGAATGTTGAGCTGATGCTGCCATCTTCTGGCTTATTGTTACCCTAACTAGAGCAGCCTTCTCACCTAAGTGATTACCCTTTGACCTCTGGCTACTTATATTTGCCTTTCATTTAGTAGCAAAGTACCAAGCTAACTTGTGATCATGTTATTAGCATTGACATTTAAAAGTTTTATCTAGTTTGGCAGTAATCTAATCAGGGATAAAGTTCATTTTGATGGCCTAGGACCCTGTTCAGTATGACTGAAAAGCAACTAGCAGTATGCTGATTAAAGAAAAAAATGGTTCAAGAAAACAACAACAACAAAAATAACAAAAATGATATGATATGGAACACAGAGTAGGCAATAGGCTCTGAAAATGGTGACCACTGAGTAGATGAGGCCTTAGAAAATGTCTGGATCAACACTTCTCAGTGGTGGTCTCCTGTCTACCAGGACAGTTTAAAACCTGGTAAGTTACAGGTGCTTGAGAGAAGGCAGAGGAATCTGAACTGTGTTAAATTTTAGAGGTGATTACAGTAAACACTAAAATTTGAAAGCCATGTCCTTTTCTATTTTGTTTATTCTACAAGTGACAAAATTATTTTACCAGATTGATAAGTGATTTTGTCCTAGTTTACACAGATAATTACTGGTAAAATCAGAATTAGACCCCTGAACTATATGAACCTAAAGGATGATACTTTTAGCCTTTAGGCATATAACTATATAATCACAGACATAGACACTCCTTATTCTCTCTTGGTGAGAAGCTTGAGATTTTAGATAATAACAGAAAATAGAAATACAGCACACAGATACACAACAGATGAGGTGGAAATAATTCTATATAAGTATCAGAGAGATGGTAATAGAAGTCATTGGATAATGGTACATTCCTATATTCAAATTCTGACACATGAACAAATTCCTTAAAAGTCTATGGTTTTACTATGCTATCTGTAAAACTGGCTTGATAGTTTTTACCTCAAAGAATTGTGAGGTTTATGGATAAGCTATGTAAAGTGTCTGGAATATAATAATCACTTATGCAGCCTGAGAATATAGCTCAGTGTAAAACACTTCCCTGGTATATGTGAGACCCTAGGCTCAATTCCCAGCACTACAAAAAGAAATCATCTTGTGTGCAGTGATGATTTTCTTTTAGATGTTTGATTAGTTTCTCAAGTCTAGCTGACATCTCTCTTTTGAAAACTTTTCCTTGGTTTTTGGTTAAATTGTAAAAAGTCTAAGATATGTGTGTAGTTGCTGTATTTGATGGTAAATTTGATTATGCTATTATGTAAAGAATAATTTTTCAAGTAAGTGTATAAAGTCACAGACAGACATGTTTACTACTCTAACTACAGAGGTAAAGAAACGTGCTTTAGAGGGAAAAAAAGTCAACATGTTTCAACACTATGAAGAAGTCTCAAGCCTGTTATTTGTGACCCAAATTTGAGTAGCAAACTGTAACTTAACTGTGCATTGCTTTCCTGATTGTCTGATATTTAGGTCCTTTACTCAAAGGTTCTAATTGGCATGGAGCCATGATTGTGATAGCAGGGTTTTCTGAGGTGCAACAAAATTACAGAATTACCTGGTATAATCTAATTAGGCCAAAGGGTGAAATGAAAATGTGACAATGGAAATTTGGTTAAGTTGTAGTTTCCTTTCTGGATCTGTCTGTGTAATCCCTGAGAAAAAAGCCCCAATAATGCTGTATTTGGTAAGAAAGTGGATTTAACTGCAGCAAGGAGTAGGGGAATGCAAAGATATGGCAAGTGAGACAATGGGAGATGCTGTCTGAGCAGTGCCTGAGCAGGAAACAGGGACAAAAAGCACCAGGACAGTGTTCCTCCAGGCTACAAGGTAAGACCCAGAGATGCTGTAGAGCACCATTGTCAGTCTTTGCCAGGCTTCCTCTAGAATGTTACTGAGCATGTCACTTGTATCTCCAGAAAGAACTCCCCAGCATTTTTAGGAAGGGACGAGTGTGGCACAGGCAGTGAGAGCTCTCACCATTGGGAAGTGGACATTAGAATTGTTGGACACTTGCTTCTGTACAAAATAATGTGTTATATTTTCTCTAGATATTATAATGAAGACAAATGGCAGAACATAACAGCTGTGGCTGAATTTTCACTGCATGAAGATGTGAGTGTGAAGTGAAAAAGTCCATATAAGCAGAATATCTGCCTGGAATTATATAAAGTTAAAAATTCTCCTATTGTTTATGATAAATTGTGTAGGAATCTGCTAATGTTCTTGTCATTTTCTTTAGTCAGCTAAGAAAAGGGATATTCTCTCATATGCTTCATATACGTGTATTTGTACTTTAAAATATGGACCAATTAGGTGTCATTAGAAGACTGTGCAAGCTGGAGAGTGCTCATGGGTTAAGAGCTCTTCCAAAGGTACTGAGTTAAGTTCCCAGTGGCCATATGGTGGCTCACAACCATCTATAATAGTATCTGATGCCTTCTTCTGCCATGCAGGTGTACATACAGAGCACGCATACATAAAATATAAATAAATAAACGTTTAAAAACTAAAAAAATAAGACTATGTACTAAAATAGATGGTTTTCTGCTCATAATGAGCTCTCATGAGGGTGCTGTATAACTTCCTTTGTTTTTGTCCCCAGATCTGTCCTTTGTATGGATCAAAAGAAGTAAAGTTGTTGAAGTGCTAAAAATGAAAATGATTATATCACAAGCTATTTTTAACCAAACTTAATTGAAACCACATGCCTGAGAGACCTAATTCCAGGTCTGACTAAAAGAAACTCTGCACTCAAAAATTGCTGAAGCAGGAATATATAATGTGTACAGTCAAGCATACATTAAGTATTTAATATGTTACCTCATCTCCAAAGTAGTACTATCTGTAGGACTGTGATCATGCTAGTTTTAGTGTTTTCACAGTAAAACTTGTGACATCTGGACAGTGCCCGTGCTAAGAAAACAGCAGCCCTGTTGTCAGTGAACAGAGTACAGTTGTATAACTTGGTGAGATTTTAACTCTGATGTTGTGACTAAGGCTACATATAAAATCAAGAACCAAAGTTTCAAAACTGCTTCAGTAGCAAGGAAAAGCATAAAATCTTCTATTTAATCTGAGGTTAAATAACCTATACAGTATTTTTTTAAGCAGAAGTCCTACAAATACATCCTTGTAAATGATTTGACAAGGTCTAAGCCACTATCAATGCTATTTTTTTTCCTCTGACTTCATCTGGAGGTGAACTATGAAAATACAGAAGAGAATGTTAATGATAGAGGAACAACAAATTCAGACCTGTTTTCCAGATCATTCTTCAACTAAGTTAGCAACTCTTGTGGTGGTTTCAAAAGCAGAAATATGAGGCTGGGGCAAAGTCTATTCCCTGCCATCACAGTTTAATCCAAGGGAAAGAGTGAATTACTTAGTATTTTCTAAACCAATTAAAGGTTCCTGAGAGAGGCAGTGATGCCTGGCTTGTGGGCTAAGACTGGTAGGATTACAGGACACATGTATCTGACTGCTTTATACAGCTAATAGGGAAATGTATAGCTAGCTCTGGACATCCTAGAAGGGTAGACTCATCCTTAGACCTGTGGGCAAGCCTTACTCTTTCATTAACTCTTCCTGAAAGCACATGGAAAAGGGCTTCATTTCTCTCTGGAAAGAGAAGGTCTCCATTGTTTTCATCATGTTTCCCACTGATTTTATAACGACTAGCCCACTGTAGTGGCATACCTGCAATCCCAGCTGCTTACGAGGCTGAGGTTTAAGGATTGAGAGTTCTGAATCAGCCTAAGCACATTAGCAAGACCTTGTCTCAAAAGAAAGAAATTTAAAGGGCTGGAGATAACTATAATTCAGAGGCAGTGTTGTTTGCCTAGAAAATGAAAGGCCTTAGGTTCTATCCCCAGCACTAAAAGGACCTGGACCATTTTGCCTCAGCCTGTTTCTAACTAAACTAAACTTCATTAATTTAAAATATACAAAATAAACCTCATATAAAATCATCTCAGGTTTCTCTTTGAAAACCCCAGTTAAAAGCCTGAATAGCTATCTCTGCAGTTAAGAGCATTTCCTGCTCTTCTAGAAGACCAGAATTCAGTACCCAGCACCTGTGTCAGACAGTTCAAGTTCCAAAGGACCTGACACACTCTCTGACTTCCACAGGCACCTGCACACACATGGCTTACACACACACACACACACACACACACACACACACACACACACACACTTAAATTTTAAAAATCTATGGGAGGCATAATGTTACTTCTAGTTTTAATTGGAATGGGCAAGTTTTCACCTGAGGGGATAGTTTCATTGAGTATATATAGCATTGTGTGTTTCTACAGTGTAAAACAGTGTAAAGAGTTTGATGACAAGACTCCAGAGAAAAAGTTGTTTTCATCTTCTCTATGTAGTTTTTACTGTCTAGCCTAAATTTAGAAATGCTAATTCCTCTTATGTCTTAAATCTTTCTTTGATGTTCTTTTAGCTGACCCATTCATTGTTCTTTACACATTTACATCCAGGCATCTTAGTGTTTTTTCACAAACCCTTTCCCAACCCCAACAAAATCAACTCTCTCTCTCTCTCTCTCTCTCTCTCTCTCTCTCTCTCTCTCTCTCACACACACACACACACACACACACACACACACACCTCCCCCCCTCCACCTTTCAGAATTCTGGGATAACCTGGAATTTTCTGTAGACCAGGCTGGCTTTAAACTTACAGAAATCAATCTGCCTCTATTTTCTGAGTGCTGTGATTAAAGGTGTTTGCCATCATGTCTGTCCTCCTTGATGCTATTTTAAAGGGTGTTTTGAATTCTAATCCTGCTCAGTTTCTCCCAGCTACCAATATTGAAGATGGTAAAGGACTCTTTTTCAAGGCCTCTAGTAAAGAATGACCTTTCTAAAATTTTACCCCATGGATTTTAATCTTACTGCTCCCATTTCTTCTAAAAGTATGGTTTTCTCTGTGCAGTCTTTAAATTTTGGTATTTCCTAAAGTTCTGCTCCAGAGCCTCTTTGTCAGCAACATGCTTGCCCTGGGTAATCTCATCTACTCGTAGCTTTAGTCATTGTTTCTGTCCAAGTGACTCTAAATCCTTGTCTTTTCCATAAATATTGGTGGTAGGTCAGGCATGGTGGAACATGCCTTTAATCTCAGCACTTGGGAGGCAGAAGCAGATAGATGACTGAGTTTGAGACCACAGTTTGAGACGCATAGGGAGTTCCAGGCCAGAGCTACATAGTAAGTGAGTGAGTGAGTGAGTGAGTGAGTGAGTGAGTGTGTGAGTGAGTGAGTGAGTCTGTGAGTCAGTCTGTGTGTCTGTCTGTATCTCTGTCTGACTCTGTGTGTGTGTATGTGTGTGTGTGTGTGTGTGTGTGTGTGTGTGCAGGTGTAGTAGTGATGGTGGTGGTGATAGGTATGTGTGGTGACTTGTACATCTATCCATTACCCTTTAACTCCATTCTAAGTAGATTTTAAATGTCTAGACTATATGGTTTAGGGCTGGTTCTGCCTTTAGTTAGACATAGATCTTTACAGGTTTAAATCAGTTAACATCACCCCTCCTGGATGGCATCACCCTACAAGTGGAGTAGGGGGGGAGATGGGAGGGGAGGGTGGTCAGGGTACATGTGGTGGGGGGAGGAAAAGAGGGAAGGAGGGAGGGAGAAGGAACTGGGATCGATATGTAAAATAAATAAATAAATAAGTTGAAATAAATAAATAAATAAGTTGAAATAAATAAATAAATCAGTTAACATCATCACTACCAATGCTGGCACTGATTGCTTCAGGAGTATGTCCAAGAACTAAAATGGTTCAGTAGGATTAAATATCAGAGCATTTTCTTTTCCCTTCTTTTTTATGTGGATTCTGTGATTACAAACTTCATTCATCAAATTTGATAAGTAAGTGCTTTATCTACTGGGTCATCTCTCCAGCTCTAAAGTGTCTTTCTTTGCATTTTCTTCCAGTACTAGGTATTGAAACTGTGGCCTCACATGTTGAGCACACCAGACATGTGCTCAACCACTGATCTGTAGATCCTGCCCTTCCAGCTGTTTTTTCTTTTTAAAAATATATTTATGTATGAGTAGGGGTCAAGAGGACAATTTGCAGAAGTTGGATCTCTCTTCCATGTGGGTTCAGAGGACTGAATTCAGGTCAATGGGCTTGTCAACAAGTACCTTTACCTACTGAGCCATCTCACTGCCTTCCAACTGAATTCCTCTTTCATATTAATAAAATTCCATTGTATATAGCTCCCACATTTTCTCTGTAGATTTATCTGTTGATTGAAATCTTTGTGGTTCCATTCCTTACCTAGTGTGACTGGCAGTAAATATAGCTGTGGAAGTATTTCTGTGGTGTGATGACTTAGATTCTTCATGCATATGCCCAGGAGTGGTAGAACTGGGTCATATGATAGTTCTATTTTTAAATTCTAGAACCCTCCATGCTGATTTTCTGAGTGGCTGCAGCAATTTACATTTCAAGTAGCAAGGAATACTAGTTATTCTCTCCCAATACCCATGCCAGCATTTGTTGCCATTTGTTTTCTTCATAATAGCCATTCTGACTAGAATGAAATGGAATCTCAAGTGTGCATTTCCCTGATGGCTAAAGATGTAAATGATTTCCTGTATTTATTTGTTATTTGTGTTTCTTTTAAAAATATAGAAGTTTTAGTTATTGTTCAATGTATGTATATAATGTATTTTGAGCATATCTATCCCTCACCAATACATGACCCCCGCAAAGCCTCTCCTAATTTCCTGTTTTCTTTTAAAAGATCTACAAAGTCTAATTAGTGCTGCCCATATGCACATTGGTATGAAACCATCCATTAGTCTGTGGGTAACCCAACAGTGGCTTTCTGCCCAAAGAAAAGTGATGTCTCCTGTAGCCATAAACTGCTAATAGCTCTTCTGCTAAGTATGTGGCCTTGTGAGCTCCTCTTCCATTAGTTCTAAAATTTTGACTGCCTCAGTTTTATGTGGGTTTGTGCAGGTAACCACGGCTATTGTAAGTATGAGTTAAACAGTTATGTCATATAAAGAAGATAGCATTTCACAACACTCCTTCACATTCTCTAGCTCTTATATTCTTTCTGAACCCTCTTTTGCAATGTTTTTTGAGCTTTGGATGAGGGCAAAGGTGAAGAGAAGGGTTGATATAGATGCCCCATTTAGTACTGAGCACTCAAGAGTCACCAATTCTCAGTATTTTCACCAGTTATGGGCATTAAC